TGATGGGTGTGATACTGACGATGATGGTGATGCATTCGATGGTGCTGCTGATGATGATGCTGCTGCTAATGGTAATGATGGGAATGATGATGGCGATGACAGCGGTGATGCTGATGATGATGATGATGATTAGGAGGCTGCTGACCATAATGATGATGCTGATGCCGATCATGATGATGCTGCTGATGATGTTGATGATGATGATGATGACGATGATGCAATGGTGGTGAAACTGATGACGATGGTGACTGTGGTGATGATGATGAGTCTTATGGTAATGATGATGTTGATGGTGCTTACAATGCTGATGATGCTGAGATGGAGATGATGAGGTTGATGATAATGATGACGGTACTCACGCTGCTGACGATGATGGTGGTGGCGGTGATGATGATGAGGTTGATGATGACAATGCTGATGATGTTGACGGAGATGGTGATGGTGATGAAGCTACTGCTGATTCGAATGATGATCATGCTGCTGATGCTGATGATGTTGATGATGAGGACGATGGTGATGCTGATGATGAGTAGGACGAGTATGATGGTGATGATGATGCTGATGATGATCATGACGATGATGATGATGATAATCATGGTGGTGATGATGATGATTATGATGATGATGCTGACGATGATGATGATGATGATCATGTTGATGATGATGATGCTGATGATGATGATGATGATGATGATCTCGATGATGATGATGATGTTGATGTTGATGTTGGTGATGATGATGATGATGATGATGATGATGATGATGATGCTGCTGCTGATGATGATGATGATGATGATAATGATGATGATGATGATGATGATCATGATGATGATGGTGATGATGATGATGATGATGATGATGATGATGATGATGATGATGATGATGATGATGATGATGATGGTGGTGGTGGTGGTGGTGGTGGTGGCGGTCAGGAGCAGAAGGCTGGTGGTCGTGATGAGCAGGAGGGGGAGGAGGAGGAGGAAGAGGAGGAGGAGAAGGAAGAGGAGGAGGCGGGTGGGTGAGAGATGATGAGGCGGATGCCACGTTGGAGGGACGAAGCGGGGGGGGGGGCATCAGGGGATCGAAGGAGGGGGACGGGGAGGAGGGGTGAGGGAAAGGTTGAGGTGGAGGAGGGGGAGGATGCAGAGAAGGGGAAGGCACGGAGGACAGGACTTTGCTGGCGCTTGAGAGATCGAATCCCAACGACAAGGGGAGGATGAGGAGCAGGAAGACCAGGCGACGGGCGGGAGGGGGTGATGGGAGGTGGGCTGGAGGGGGAGCATGAAGGCTGGGGAGGAGGGTCGAGGATCGAATCGGATCGCTCCTCCGACGGATGCGTTCGGAGGCCTCGTGCTTTGCCGCCTTTCCGCGGGTGGCGCCAGAGCTTGGGCGACTGCTTGCGCGGCTCCGCGACGGCAGAGCTGCTCCGCCCTTCCCGCACTCAAGGGCGGGGTGAGAGGCAGGCCATCGAGGAGGAGGAGGAGGAGGAGGAGGAGGAGAAGGAAAATGAAAAGATGGATGAGGAGGAGGAGGAGGAGGAGGAGGAGGCAAGCTATGTGTGCTCGCGTCATATCTGACGTCCTACCCTGCCTCCCATCCCTTACCATGGCGCTAATTTTCTCTATCCGCGGAAGCGTGTCGTAGCGGACCTGTGGCTCCGCGCGCGAGTGCGTAGTGGGTGGTGGTGTGCGTGCTTGCGTGCGTATGTGCGTGGTTGTGGTGGTGGTGGTGGTGGTGGTGGTGGTGGTGGTGGTGGTGGTGTGTGTGTGTGTGTGTGTGTGTGCGTGTGTGCGCGTGTGCTGTGGTGTGACGTGGTGTGGCGTCTTGGTGGTTTGGTGGTGGGCCAGGTGCGTGCGTGCGTGATGGCGGTGGTGGTGGTGGCGGTGGTGGTGTGTGTGTGTGTGTGTGTGTGTGTGTCTGTGTGTGTGTGTGTGTGTGTGTGTGTGTGTGTGTGTGTGTGTGTCTGTGTGTGTTGTGATGTGTGTGGTTTGTGTGTGTGTGTGTCGCGCGGGCGTGCGGGCGCGCGTGCGCGCGGCGCGCGGGTGCGCGGGCGCGCGGGCGCGCGGGCGCGCGGCGCCGCGGGCGCGCGGGCGCGCGGGCGCGCGGGCGCGCGGCGCGCGGTCGAGCCGGGCGCGCGGTGGCGCGCGGTCGCGGCGGGCTCGCGGCTCTCGGCGCGCGTGGCTCGCGGCGGGCGCGGGCGCCAGCGGGCGGGCGGCGCGCGTGGCTGGGCGGGCGGGCGGCGCGCGGGCGCGCGGGCGGCGGTCGGCTGGCGGCGGGCGGCGGGCGGGCTGGGCGGGGTCGGCGGGCGGGGGCGGGCGGGCGGGCGGGGCGTGCGTGGGTGCGTGCTTGCGTGCGTGCTGCGGCGTGCGTGCTGGGTGCGTGCCGTGCGTGCGTGCGTGCGTGCGTTCGTGCGCGTGCGTGTGCGTGCGTGTGCGTGCGTGTGCGTGCGTGTGCGTGCGTGTGCGTGCGTGTGCGCGTGCGTGTGCGCGTGCGTGTGCGCGTGCGTGTGCGTGCGCGTGTGCGTGCGCGTGTGCGTGCGCGTGCGCGTGCGCGTGCGCGTGCGCGTGCGCGTCGCGTGCGCGTGCGCGTGCGCGTGCGCGTGCGCGTGCGTGCGCGTTCGCGTGCGCGTGCGCGTGCGCGTGCGCGTGCGCGTGCGCGTGCGCGTGCGCGTGCGCGTGCGCGTGCGCGTGCGCGTGCGCGTGCGCGTGCGCGTGCGCGTGCGCGTGCGCGTGCGCGTGCGCGTGCGCGTGCGCGTGCGCGTGAGCGTGCGCGTGCGCGTGCGCGTGCGCGTGCGCGTGCGCGTGCGCGTGCGCGTGCGCGTGCGCGTGCGCGTGCGCGTGCGCGTGCGCGTGCGCGTGCGTGCGCGTGCGCGTGCGCGTGCGCGTGCGCGTGCGCGTGCGCGTGCGCGTGCGCGTGCGCGTGCGCGTGCGCGTGCGCGTGCGCGTGCGCGTTGCGCGTGCGCGTGCGCGTGCGCGTGCGTGCGTGCGCGTGCGCGTGCGCGTGCGTGCGTGCGCGTGTGCGTGTGCGTGTGCGTGTGCGTGTGCGTGTGCGTGTGCGTGTGCGTGTGCGTGTGCGTGTGCGCGTGCGCGTGCGCGTGCGCGTGCGCGTGTGCGTGTGCGTGTGCGTGTGCGTGTGCGTGTGCGTGTGCGTGCGCGTGCGTGTGTGTCCGTGTGCGCGCGCGTGTGATGTGGTGTGACGCGGTATAGCGTGGTGGTGGTGGGTGGGGTAGTGGGGTGGTGGTGGCGGTGCGCCGTGGTGGTGCGCGTGCGTGCGTGCGTGCGTGCGTTGGTGGGTGGAAGTGGCGGTGGGCGGGGCGGGGCGCGGTGCGGTGGTGGCGGGCGGAGGGCGCGCGAGAAAGAGGACTGCGCTGGGGCGAGAACGCCATCCTGAACGACGGAGGCAAAACACCGATCCGAAAATGAGGCCCACGCTGCAGCGGGCGCACGCTTCGGAACGAGCGGAAGCCCGGAAATGAGGCCGGCGCCTCAGCGAGAGCAGCACTTTGAAACAACCCAAGCGAAAATTCAATTCCAGAAAATCCCGTGTGTAAAAAAAACAATACGCGGAGGGGTGCCCGCTATCTTCCGCACGCCATCAGGGGATGGAGGAGAGTGTGTTCATATATTCATATTCAGTAATTGTAGAGGGAGGAGGGGGAGGAGGAGGAGGCGGATGAGAAGGAGGAGGAGGAGGAGGACGAGGAGGAGGAGGAAGAGAAAGAAGGAGGAGGAGGAGGAAGAGGAGGAGGAGGAGGATATGGAGGAGGGGGAGGAGGAGGAGGAGGAAAAGGAAAGGGAGGAGGTGTAGGAGGAGGAGGAGAAGGAGGAGGAGAAGTGGTGAGACGGTGGTCCTCTCCATCGAAGAAAAATAACGCCATAAACATAAACTGTTGGTGCTCCGCGTGGATTTCTTGGATCCTCGCTGGCACCCGCAGCCTTCAGCGCGCTTCGCGCGCCAGGGAGGAGGGTCCAGCGCATATCCACGGAATCCGCGCGGAGCGCCAAAAGCTTCTGTCAATGCAGTTTTTGCTTCTTCTACCCCAGCTCCGCACCGACCCTGGCATGCAGCATGCCCGAACAGGCCCGGCCGCCAGGATGGGAACGGGTTGGCCAGAGGGTGCCAGGAGGGCACTTCTGCGATCCAGGGGGGGAGGGGTAAGAGGGACGGAGCGGAGCGGGAGCCGCTCGGCCACACCGCCATACACATCGACTGACCGTTGCACTCGCAATCGCAGCGGCCCTCAGGCAGGCAGGCCTCCACAGCGAGAGACGCACGGCATGCCTGCTGAGCCTGCTCCCCTGCTGGGCAGGGGGCAGCGAGAGGGGGCGGAAGGGGGGACGATGGGAGGGGAGGGGGTTCGTGGGCGGAACAAAAAAAAAACACGTGCCCGCGGCCTCGCGGGCAGGGCACCTGGGCCCCGACCCCGCGGACACGGGGCGTCTGTGCGCGGATGCCCCGCGCGGGACGTGCGGCAGGCTCGTGCTGCGTCGACCGGCGGCGACCCCGCCAGGGGCCTGGCCTTCAATCTTGAACGCCGCGGGCGAGCCAGAATCGGTCGACGTGGAACGACTCGGACGTTTCGGAAACGGCCGACGGCCGACCGCTCAAGGCTGAACGATCTCCGCGGTGCCAGAAATAGGGGGCCACATGCGAACCTTACCCCCACCCCCCACGATGTCTGAGGTGGAGGGTGGGGTTAATTTCGTTCGGGAGCTCCCGAGCCCCCACGATTAGAGCGTCGTGAGATGATTAGCGATCCCCCTCTCCCCTATGCTGCCCTCTCCTTTCTCTCCTTGCGCCCGCCCCGAGAGGCGGGGGGGGGGCGGAGCGCGGATGAGGAGTGGGAGCTCGCTGCAGAAGTGCTCGTCCAGCACGTCGCGAGATGGTTCGCTATCCGCCCCCCGTTGCTGCCCTCTCCTCTTTGGACCCGCCACACGAGGCGGGGTGGGGGGAGGGCGGAGGGCGGAGGGCGGAGGGCGGAGGAGGGGCTCGCGGCAGAGGTGCTCATCCAGCACGTCGGGGACACCGACGAGGGCGGAGGGGAGCAGGACCGAGCACGGCCCTCGCGCCCTTGCGCCCGCCCCGCGGAGTCAAGAACCGACGCCAGGGTCGGCACGACACGAACCTGCCGCAAGGACCTGTGCCAGGAGTCTCTCAGGTTCCCGAGTGCGAATCGAAGCGGGCACGCAGGTCGGATCCAGTCCGATCGATGGCCGAAGGCTTTCAGTTAGGCTGGCAGGTTCGCTTGCAAGCGCTGGTAGTTTCACGACCTCGTCTCGCATCGCGACTGGTTTCACTCACTCACACACTCCCCTCATCCCAGGCATCCCACCCTCCCGCCACTCCTTCCCCTCCACCTTCCCTCCCCTCGGGATTTCCTCTCCTCCCCCAAACTCCACCCCTCCCCCGCCACGTTTGCACAATGCTGAAAGTCACCAATCGATTGTACAGGTTTTCGAAGCCCCTCCGCATTTTCTGCTCGCGCTCATCCTTGGCATACCCATACGACCACCCTTCGGGTGATAAGGAGGTCCGGGGGGGGAACCAACGTCTCACTCGATCGGTCTCAATATCGATCGATCGATCTCACTCGATCGATCTCACAATCGATCTCACTCGATCAATTTCATTCGATCGATCTCACAATCGATCTGACTACCGATCTCACAATCGATCTCACTATCGATCTCACTACCGATCTCACAATCGATATCACATTCGGTCTCACTATCGGTTTCACAATCGATCTCACAATCAACGTCATCATCATCATCATCATCATCATCATCAGCAGCATCATCGTCATCAACGTCATCAACATCATCATCATCATCATCATCATCAGCATCATCGGGACACCATAATCATCATCACCTCATCACCATCATCAACATCATCATCATCATCAACATCAGCATCATCATCAGCACCATCATCGGGACATCATCATCGTCACCGTCATCAGCATCAACATCATCATCATCATCGCGACACCATCATCATCATCATCGGAACACCACACTCGTCATCATCATCATCATCATCTTATCAGCCTCATGAACCACATCAACATCATCAACACCATCGGGACACCATCATCATCATCATCATCAACCTGTTCATCATCATCATCAACATCATCATCATCATCATCATCATCGGAACACCATCGTCATCATCATCGTCACCATCATCATCACCATCATCATCGGGACACCATCATCATCAACATCAGCATCAGCATCATCACCATTACCGGGCCACCATCATCAACCTCATCATCATCATCACCTCATCATCACCTTCATCATCAACATCATCACCAGCATCCTCATCATCACTGGGACACCATCATCTTCATCATCAACATCATCATCATCACTGGGACACCATCATCTTCATCATCAACATCATCAGCATCATCATCAACCTCATCATCATCATCATCATCATCATCATCATTATCATCGGGACACCATCATCATCATTGGGACACCATCATCTTCATCATCATCTTCATTATCATCATCGGGACACCATCATCATCACCATCACTATCATCATCATCATCATCATCATCATCATTATCATCATCATCGTCATCAACAGCATCATCGACATCATCATCAGCAGCATCATCATCAGCATCATCATCATCATCATCGGGACACCGACGGGACACCGGCGGGACACCGCTCCCCACCGGCCCCCGGTCAGGAAACATTTGGTCCGGCCGCGCCTCAGCCAGAGGCGGGACACCGGCGGGACACCGCGCCCCACCGGCGTCCGGTCAGGAAACATTTGGTCAGGGTCGGGGGATTTGTTGTGAGATCGATAGTGGGTTCGTTCGTCAAGTCGGTAGTGAGACCGATTGTGAGATCAGTAGTGGATCTGTCTGAGATCGATCGTGGGATCGATTGTGAGATCAAAAGTGAGATCTGTTGTGAGATCGAGAATTCGGTCGATGTAAGATCGATTGAACGAGACGCTGGTTCCCCCCACCCGAACCTCCATGTCCCCGGAACGTTGGTCGTGTAGGCATCCGCCTTCGATCGCCGACTCATCGCCGACAGGGGCCGGTGGCCTGGCCCGTCCAGGGACGTGGGGAATTGTGCCATCGGGGACCCTTCGCCGATGTATCGGCGATGTCTCCCCGCTGCCAGCTCGACGCTGACATCCCTGAGCCGGTCCCCTCAGAGGGTTCCCCCTCGCTCTGGAAGGCACAGGCCCAGGAGCGCAGATGCACCGCTCCACTTGGATCGCCTCGTGGAGGGTGGTCGGGTCGGAAGAAGGGGGGGGGGACAGGGAATGTGGGGGTGGGTTCGCAATCTGCCGCATGCAGCCGGTTTCGGCGCCGCCAGCGGGCGCCTCCTCTTGGTGCATTGGCGCCTCCCGGCTCTAGAGTCGCCGGAGTTGGTGAAATTTTCTGGAAGGCTTCAGGCAGGCCCAGGATGGCAGGGATCGTTGCGGTCGAATTGATCCGATTCGACAAATGGTTTCGGCCGGCCCAGTCCGATTCGATTATGATATTTTGGCGATCCTATTCGGCTCCTGCTTGTACAACGTGATTGAGCATCGTGGCGCAGCCGATTCGATTCGACTCGGTTTTCGTACCGATGCGGCCCGATTCGGCCCGATATCGCCACCCGATCCCCTTAGCCACCCGAGCGGTGATCCAAACAGGGCATTCTGGAACGCTCTTTTGAAAGGGCCACGAAGCCCGATGCATCATGATGCATCGGCCTCCGATGCATCTCGATGATGCATCATCTAGACACGCTAGCCCTCATACATTCCCGATTTGTCATCATCCCGATCTGTCTTCACCTTGCCTTCGCATTCCGTTAGGTTGGAAGATGGAGTTGCCAGACGAAAGGTGAGAGTCCTCCTGGCCTTTGCAATGAGACTATCATTCGACAACTCGACGTAGCGTCGCGCGCTGATCGAGAATCGCCCTTCCATCGACGTAGCTGGAGGAAGCTCTGAGTTCTTGTGTGCGGCTGTTGCGCGATAGTCACTTCGGACAGGTGATGCCATCGATGTATACATCAATGACGTGGACACGACTCGACCGAGACCGCGGCTTTGAGAATGACAGGCCGCCTCCCTGTCGCTGCAAAACGAAGTCGTCCCGCTTGCAATTTTACACTAATTGGTTAATGTGACATTTGAATTTGAAAAGAATTTGAAGTCAATTGTCCCTGTCGCCAACTGCAGCGAATGTTGAAGTTAACATTTTTGTTCCGCTTACAGTGACAATAATTTTCAACAAATAACATCACTTTGAATTGAGTTTGTAAATAGCTTCAGATGTGACATTATTCGGACATCTGTATGGCTATGTTCAATTTCTTGCTCACGATGCCTGAAAGCGCCCCCACCTGATGTTCGCCCGTTCTGACATGTGCATTGTTGAGGGTTTCTTTTTTTCACCGCCATGAAGGGTGAAGGAGTCCCATGAAACAATCATGATGCAAACGAGCCGTCCTCATTATCCGTGTCTGTATGTCAGGCTCAATGTCAAGGGTGCAAGCGGCGCAATCAGCTATAAGGCGAGAGCCGTATTGGGAACATCATCGGCCGTCCATTTGTGTAAGACTTGGACGTGTCCATCTTAGTGACCTAAGCTGCAACGAGACTCTCAGGCGATGACCACATGTTGAATTCCAACAGTGATTAGTCTGCGTATTATTCGAACTCTTTAGCTCCAGTGCATTAGCAATTATTAATCGATTCGCACGAGGGAGGAACATTTCAGAATACCTGTCTAAACTGATAATCTGTAGATCCGTAGCGTGACGATTTTACGTCTGGGCTGCCCAAACAACACGTGTGGTGGCGCAACGAGGAGGAATTTATCAATAGAAAGGTTCGGTTACGGATAAAGGAACGGAGGAGGGGGAGATGGACCAGTATGGGGACAAGCAATGAGGCAGAAGGAGAACAGGGATGCGAGGAAGGTTGGCTCGATCGCATTGGACCCTTGATTCTCTTTGATCCTCGATTCTCCTCGGCCTTGGATTCTCTTCGGGGAGGATCCCTCCGCCTCTCAAGCGGCATTGGACTTGCCGCCTTTGCGTGCATTGCTGGCACAAGTTGCTGGTGCCCTCCAAGCAGCAGCAGCAGCAGCAGCAGAAGCAGCAGCAGTTTCACGCACGCGACTCGTAGGTTCGTGTCGTGTCGACGCGGCGGCGACCCCCGCGCGGGCGTTCCGTGTTTCCCCCCACAGATCCAGCGCGGGCGCTCGAGGCTGTGCCCTGCCCGCGAAGCGTACGCGCGCAGGCTCGCCGCCTCCGCCCCTCGTCGGGTCCCCTTCGAGCCCTGGTTGGGGCTTGCTCCCTGCGCTGGGCGACACGCCGGGACCATCGACTGGACCGCCAGCACCACGCACGGGGGGGCGTAAGTGGTCGCAGGCCGCGCATGGCCCTGATTACGGAAGGTCTGCGTCGTGTCGACCGATCGTTCAAGGTTGAACGATCCCTGCGGTGTCAAAAACCAACGCTGGGGTCGGCACGACACGAACCTGCCGTACCACCATTTCCTATCCACTGGTCGTTTCCTTTTTCATTGTTTTGCCGATCGGCGCGGGCCCTCGCGCACCCCCCCTCCCCCCCACCCGTGGAGTAGATCTTGCCGGTTTTTGATGCCTGTTTCCAGCAGGTGGAGCCTCCCCCATAGGAAGCACTGTTGCAAACGGTCGCATTAAGCAGAGTTCCGCAGCCAGACCCCCACCCTCCTTTCCTCCTTCCGCCCAAAGTCGAAGCGCCGAGTAAGAAAACGCTGACTGAAAATCGGCTCGTCTCCGGTGGCCCAGGAGCGGCCGGCCGATCTCGGACGATGCGCGCTGTCGGAGGGAGCCGCGACCGCTCGAGGCGGAACGACTCCCGTAGCGTGGGCGGCCAGTGCGCCCGAGCCGTCACGACGCACCTGCCGTCGGCACCCGTGCGCGCTGCCTCTGCTCGGGCGTGTCGATTATGACCTGGAGCGTCTGCTCGGGGCCTCTTGCACGATGGCTTGCGACAGCACTGGGCAAGGAATGGTGGGGTTCACAGGAGGGCGTGTTCGTCAGCATCTCTGGATGAAGTGGAAGCCCATGCCACGAGTACGCCCTGCTCGCCTCCAGGGTGCCCTGGCTTCCTTGGGTGTCGATGGTTCTGCGATGGAAAGCGCGACGTTGCCACACCACCAGTAAGTAGTGGATGTCCTGGGGTCTCAGGGTTGGGTCTCTTGTGGCAGGTCTCTTGTGGTCGGCCGCCCCGAGGCGGCCACGGCGGTCCCAAGCAGGCCGCCAGCGGGCCCGGCCCCTCCCAGGGACGCTTCGCGAGTCCTTCGTCAGGAGGGGAAGAACACACACAGACACAATCAATGCCGATTCCCAAGAAAATATGGGACAATATGGGGAATGGGGGGGAAAGACAAAACCCCATAAAAAAGTGTGAAAACATGGGGGATCCTTTGATTTGTGTGTCCCAGGACCCCTTCAGTTCGTTCGGTCCGCCCCCTCAGGAGAGGCCGGTCGTCTTTGACGTCGGGGCCGGCTTGGGGGTGGCCACCGCGCACTTCGCCTCGCGCATCCCGAGGGCGCCGCCGTGGGGCTGTGGGGAGGGGGTGTGGGGGAAGTAGTTCCTTCTTCTCCTCCTCCTCCTCCTCCCTCCTTCTCCTCTTCTACTCCTCCTTCCTCCTCCTCTCCTCCTCCTCTTCCTCCTCCTTCTCCCTATCCTGGCTGATCAGGCTCACAGTCTTAGACTTCGTCACTCGGGTTTGGGAGTCAGCCTGGTGGGATCCGCTGCACGCCAGTCGGGCTTGGCTGCGTCTGATCTGATCCTCCGTGTGCTCCTGCCCCCCTCGCTCTGCTGGGCGAGGTGGCCAGAGGATGGGGGAGAGGGGAGATCCAGGTGCCTTGGTATCGCTCGGACGTGTGTACTTTTTCTCGGCGGGGCTTATTAAGGAGTATCCTGGATCATCCTGCGGAAAAAAACTACGCACGAAACCGAAAAAAACACAGGGAATGGACGTCCGAGCGATGGCCAGGGTGCGCTCGCGCCATGTCTGGCTTCCTATGCATCCCATTCCTCCCTTTCCGGTGCGCGTGTTTGTTCCCTCTCCGCCGGCGCACGTCTTTGCGGACCTGGATCCTGAAAGTGGCCTCATCGTGTGATGCGCAATCAGAAAGGGGACCCGTGAGCATCGGATGGGGCGAGAGAAGGCAGCGGATGAGCAGGGGAGTGACCAGGAGGGAGATGAGGACGGGGGGGGGGGGAGGAGCAGCATCAGCGAGCGGGATTAGCAGGAGGGCTTGGGGAAGACGAACACGGGGACCAGAGTTCAGCGAGAACGACGACGCGGAAGGAATCGAATCCGGAAGTGTGGCCCGCGCTGTGGCGAGAGCGCCATTCGGATCGACGGGAGCAACGCGCCAATCTTGACATGAGGCCGACATTGTTGCTGGAGCCCCGTCTTGAGCAGCCCAGAGGTATTGCATAACACATACATAAGAACACATTGCAACAAGCATCTTACTATCGTGCGTATCGGGAGACACTACGTTGGAGAGAAAGGTTCACAACGGGACCCGTTCAGCGGAGAGAGGGGAGTAGGATTTACTCAATTTGAATTGTAGCACGTGGAGGGGGAGGGAGGATGAGAGAAAGAGAGAGAGAAGGAGACGACAAATACCGAGATAGAGAGAAAGAGAGATAACCACAGAGAAAGCCAAAGAGAAGGTTGAAAGAGAGAGAGAGAGAGAAACAGAGAAATGGAGCGAGAGGGTGAGAGACAAGGAGAGTGATGGAGAGAGAGAGAGGGAGGGAGGGAGAGCGAGAAGGAGCGAGAGAGAGTCAGAGACAGAGAGGGAGAGGGAGAGCGAGAGAGAAAACGATATACGTGTATATATATGTAAAGTTATATATATATATATATACAATCTGTATGTATGTGTATATATATATATATATATATTCTTAACAAGCAAGAACAGAAGGCAGCGTGAGAGACGTGTACTCGTACAACGGCTTCTCCTTGTGGGCTTGCCGAGCTTTCGCCCGGTGGGCGGCATCCCCGGGAGCGCCCCGTGCGCCGGGTGGGTGCGAGGTGCCGCCTCTGCGAGGCCGTCCCGTGGGCGCCCCGTGCGCCGGGTGGGCTTGGCGAGTTTGTTCCCCTGGCTTGGTGCTAAGTCTCGGGCCGGACGAAAGGGGGGGATTGGGAAAGGGGGGGTTACGAAGTTTGTTGCATGCAGCTGGTTTCAGCCCCACCGAAGGGCCCATTCCTCGATACATAGCCGCCTCCGGCGCCGGGAGGCGCCAGGAAAATCAGCTACGTGAGCTGATTCACAACCCCCCCCTTCGCTATCCCCCCCTTTCGCCTGTTTTTTTTCCGTTTTGGCTTATGTTTTATATTTTTTATTTTTCGTCGACGATCTCCCCCCTAGCCCTGGAGACGACATGGCCGCTTTTTGTTCGCCGGTTCCGTTCTGCCGTGGTTGCTGCCGGTCCCGACGCCGTTCTTGTTACCGGTGCCGTGGCCGTTTTGTGCACCGCCTCCGGCTCCAGCTCCCATGCCGGAGCCGTGTTCGTTGCCGCTTCTGGTCGCCGTTTTTTGTGTCGTTTCCATTTTCACGAGGCGCTTTCTCGGGAACGGTGAGAACACTGCCCTGCCGTTTCCGGGGCCCACTACAGTGGGGACCCATGCCAAGAGACACCCTGCTTGCCTCCAGGGTGCCCCAGGCTTCTCGGGCTTCGATGGTAGCGCGACGCTGCCGCACCACCAAACATCAGTGGACGTTCTGGGGTCTCATGGGGTTGGGTCTCTTGTGGCAGGTGTCGTGCGGATCGGCCTCCACTGTAATCCCAGGGGTGGCCGGTCGTGGGCGCCTCGCGTGCGCGGACGTGGCCGCCCGTGGCCGCCTCGGCGCCTCGCGGGCGGGCGGGCGGCCGCGTGCCGCCTGCGCCGCAGAGCTCGCGCGGCACGGCCTGCACCGCACAGCGTGCACCACCAGAACTCAGTGGACGTGGAAGCCCATGCCACGAATACGCCCTGCTCGCCTCCAGGGTGCCCTGGGTTCCTTGGGTTTCGATGGTTCTGCGATGGAGAGCGCGACGTTGCCGCACCACCAAAGAAGTAGTGGACGTCCTGGGGTCTCGTAGGATTGTGTCTCTTGTGGCAGGTCTCTTTTGGATCGGGCCCCTGCTGCAGCACCACCACTGAAGTCTGAGGCGGCCACGGCCGTCCCACGCAGGCCGCCGGCCGGCCCGGCCCCTCCCAGGGACGCTTCGCGAGTCCTTCGTCAGGAGGGGAAGAACACACACAGACACAATGTATCGGCGGCACCCCAGTATCTTAATACAATGTGTGCGTCGCCCCCCCCCATGGGCGACGCGCGTACCGAGAACTCTTACAGTATACGCGTCGTGGCGGGCGCTTGCTGGCCGTACCTCTCGGGAAACGATATGCCACAAGATGGATATACTAGGTGTTGGGGTCGGACGCACGCCTCCGAGGAGGAAACATCGTACTAGTATGTCCCTGTGCGTCCCATAGAAGGTCGAGGTCGGTTTGGGGAGGGTGCTCTGAGGTTCTTCGTGTTCGTTGGATGTCCCTGGGGATCCGGGGAGGGTACCCTCGTGTGGTCTTCGGTTTGGGCTGGCGGAGGATCTCATGTTCTTGAAGGATGGTTTTCTGTCTTAGGTCCGGTTGTATCGTAGTCACCAGGTGGCTTATCCCACATGTTTGTATGCCACATCGCGTACATAATACCGAGTGCATTGCATGACTTGCACCACCGAGCGTAAACCACTGTGCTTGAATCGCATAGCGCGCGCCACATAGATTGTACCACGCAGCTTGCGCCGCACATATTTACACCGCATTGCAATGCGTAGTTTACTTCACACAGTTTGCGCATCACACACTGCACCACCTAGTTTACAGCACAACTATGGCACCCCATTCCTCACACATCCATGTGGCACTAGCTGGCTGTATGTGGTTCACGGTGGCAATCACGTTTGTAGTATGTCGCAGTTGTTCACACATGGACAAATAAGTATAGGGATAACGAACCATATTGAGAGACAACTAAATACGAGATACACGCAAGCTAGTATGTATATATCGATGTATGTATGTATACATACGTACAGGTATGTGTATACAGATGGGGAGGGAAAGAGGAGGGGGAGATGGAGGGAGCCGGGGAGGCAAGGGGAATGGTGGGGAGGATGGAGGTGTGGGATTTGGGGAGGAGGACAGAGGAGGGATACTGGAACGAAGGATGATGCAGGAGGAAGGATGAGGAGGAGGAGGAGGAGGAGGAGGACGGAGGACGGAGGAGGAGGAGGACGAGGAGGAGGAGGAGGAGGAGGAGGAGGAGCGGGAAGAGGAGCAGGAGAAGGAGGAGGGTGCGGGGGGGGGGGGGCGAGGAGCAGCGGGGGCACGACAAGGAGTTTCTGGGGGGAAGACGAGGAGCTGGCGGAGGAGAAGGATCAGCGGGAGAGGCTTGGGGCGAGTAGGACTAGGAGGAGGAGGAGGAGGAGGAGGAGGAGGACAAGGAGTATTTGGAGGATGGAGGGGCGGGCGAGGGAGAGGCGGAGCAGGTGACAGGAAAAGGGAGGAGGAGGAGGGAGTGAGGAGCGGGAAGGGACACATCGATCCACTCGCTGGATCTCTCGGTCTTTGCGCATTGCTCCACGATTGGGCTGTCGCGGCTGCGTTGTTGGCGCTGGCTTGCAACATGCAGGGGCTTCGGCCAGTCAGGGGTTCTCTGGAGCTTGCCTGTCGTTTTGTTTCTCTCAGCTACAGGGTACTTTTCTGGGCTTCTTCTCTCCCCTCGTCTCTTCTCAGATTGGTCGTCCGCGTCCTCTCGTTGTGCATGGGCGGGCAGCCAGGCTCGCATTTTTGCCTTCGAGCCGGCGCCGCAAGCCTTCGAGCTCCTGCAGAGAAACGCGGGCAGCTTGAAGATGCGGCCGATCGCTTAGATGAGCTGTTGTCCTCAGGGGGAGCGAGGCAAGTGAGGGCTGCGCGCATGCTGTGGCAGATGGTGGGGATGCCGGGTGATAAGGAGGGTGGAGGTGAGGGAGAGGACCAGGAGGGAAGACGAGACACACGCACACGCACACACAAACGCTGACATCAAGGCATAGATTGGACATCAAGGTTAAGATGGATATCCAGTCCATATGGAAAGATCTGGGGCCTCCTGGAATGTGTGTGTTTTTTGGATTTGTTTGTGTTCCACCGGGCCCCTTCAGATGAGGGGAGGGAGGCTTGGCAAGGGACGGGAGTATCAACGACGCGCCGCCGCTGGGATCCTGTGGGCGTGTTGCTCCTCCGTCCTCTGTCGTCCGAGGAGCTGCTGCTTCTTCAGCAGCAGCAGCAGCACGTTGACGGGTTCTCCACGGCGGCGTGCAGTTACTGTTGTTCTGGGGGAGGCGAGGAGAGGCAAGGGGTCAGGGGAGGCGAGGGGAGGCACGGGAGTGGAGGCGAGGCGCGGGCATATGGGAAGGGAGCTTCGCAGTGTCCCGTCGATCTCCCACCATGCCCCATCGCCCCCGGGAAGCTCCAAGACCGTCCAAAGCCGGCCCCTGAGGGCCTCCAGGCGGGCCGAGATTGCTTCAGGGAGAGCCCAAGGGCCCGAAGACGCCTCCGCGACGCCCCCGACAGGCTCCAAGAGGCCCAATAGGGGCCCAGCGAACGGCTTCCTCTAGGGGCCCGAGGGCCCCAATTTTACAAACCAGCGAACACCATACAGTCTTGAAGAACTCGTTTTCTCATTGCCCTGGACCCAACACACCCGAAAGAGCCCCAAGAGGAGCCCCTCAAGCACCAATGACGTCCCCATGAACGCTCAGGCGCCTCCCAACACCGCCCCAGGACGGCCCCAGATAGCCTCAAGACGGCCGAGGTCGCCAAGATGGCCCCAATCTGTCCCCGAGAGACTGTCCCTACAGGCCACCACGAGGCTGCCAAGATGCTCCAAAGTGCGTACCCAGGAGGCCAACATCCGTCAACAACTTAAAGGATCCCATGGGTTTTGGAAGATCTCGCCTTTTTGCCTCCGAGGGTCCTCTGATGCTTCAGGGTGGTCCACGCATTGCCCTAGAGGAGCCCCAGAGAGACCGAAGACGGTCGCCTGGGGCGGAGCGCCAGAAATTTTGGACCATCGGGGAGCATCTTGAACCACCTTGCGACCGCAAAGAAAACTCCCACCACATTGAAATGTGCACGGGTAATGGACGTCCGATTGATGCCAAGAAGACCCTTGCCCTCCCAGATGGCTCCGAGACGGCCAAATATGGCTTCGAGACAGCCTCCAGACCGCCGAGACTGCCCCAGATGGCCTGCAGGCAGCCCCAGGCAGTTCCAGATGGTCCCGAGACGGCCTCAGCAGTCCACCAAGAGGCTCCCAGGAGGCTTCGAAGACACCACCTGGTCGCGGTCCCTAGTGTGCGTTTTAGATGCTAGGTTCCAAGACACAGCTAACCGAAAAACCACTGCCGCGCTGGCGTTGTGAAACCTGAGCGCGCGCCAAGCGTGCGCGATGGTTCTAGTATCCACATATGGATCCGTTGCTCTCCCCCTCCCTCCCCCTCCCTCCCTCCCCGCCTCTCTCTCCCTCAATCTCTCTCTCTCTCTCTCTGTCTCTCTCTTTCTCCCTCCCTCCCTCCCTCCCTCCCTCCTTCCCGCCCTCCCTCTCTTTCTCTTCTCCTCTCTCTCTATCCGTATTTTTTGTTTCTCTCTCTCTCTCTCTCTCTCTCTCTCTCCCTTGTTTCGAGTTTCTCTTGGAGGGAGCCTCTTCCCACGTGTCGCCCCTGCTGCAGCCTTCTCCCTGCTCCGTCCTCTCGGACGATGGCCCTGACGACGGGGTGGCGGCGGCAGTCGCAGTGCCGAAGCGCGCCCCGTGCCCAGCAAGCCCGGCTCGACTGGCCGAGTTGTCCTCCGGGGGGGCTGCAGCACCGGCTCAACGACGTGCTGCCGGCCAGGCCTGCACGGATGGCCCTCCCCATGCTTCTGCTCGTTGCGGCTGCGGCCTCGGCTGCTTCAGCTCGGGGTGCGCCGTGCAGCGCCTCCGGGTCGGCTCACCCGAGTCGGCTTGCCGCCCACGGGGGTGCCCCTCCCTTCCCCACGGGGGCCCCTCTCCTCTCTACTCCGCTGGGCCCTGCAGCGTGCAGCATCGGCGCCAGAGGCGTGCGCCGTCGTGCCTTCCCTCTCTCGTCCTCCTGCTACTCTATTAGCCCCCCTCCTCCCCCTCTTCATCCTCCTCCTCTTCCTCCCCTCCTTGCGCTTCCTCCCCCTCCCTGCCTCTCCCTCCCCCCTCCGCTCCCCCAACGTAAATGAGTCTTCAGAGCAACATGCCAAGACTCAGCGATGCATTGCTACCTCCAGAGCCGCCCTACACGAGGGGCCCTGCTGACTGGCACCATGCTGCAATCTGCTGCAATCCCCTCCCTCATCCTCCCTCCCCCCTGCTGGAGGTACCGCCGATTTGGCGCCGCGGGAGCGGGCTCCTGCGCCGGCAGCGTGCTCTACGGGGGCCGGGCGCCCAGCCGGCCACGAAGCTGGCCGCCCGGCTTGGGCGTTGCGTAATGGGGGGGTCATAAATGGGGGGTTGGTGAGGGTGGTCCGAAAAGGTACCCAAACGGTACCTAAACGAGCCCCCTGGGGGTCCAGAGGGGCCCGAAAGGGGCACGAAAGGGGACCGTTTCTGACCCCCCCATTCGTGACCCCCCCATTAAGCCACGCCCAACACTTTGGATCCGATCGGTCCGGCTCGATTCTGAGGTCCGAGTTTTCTTCGGCTGCTCGAGATGATGTGCTCGGGTGTTGCCGGACGTGCTCCGGGTCCAAGGTGCCCCCAGCTTTCCGCTCCACTGTTGGGCCCCGGGGGCCCTCTGGGCCTCTTGAGGGGTGCTCTGGAGGCCGTCTGGGCCACCCCGAGAGTCCTGGGGGCTCCTTGGGCCAGGGGTACTTCTAGCAACCCCCGATGTACAGTCAACACGCATGGTAAAGATAGGCAGTCTTCCCAAGGGTACCCTTGCGTGCTTACCTCCTCGGCACATCCTTGGCCGCTTTCATTGGCCGCACCCCTCTCGAAAAGCCTCGGAATGGGCGTCCAAGCCTCTTGCATCCTTATCTTGCGTCCTTCATGGTACGGGTTGACTGTATGTGCAGAGCTTCATTCGTTGTTATTCTTCTTCTTCTTCTCCTAGCAGGCGAGTCCCCGAGGGGGACCTCCAGGCCGCGAGCCCAGAGGCCGCACGGGCCGCGAGGAGAGCTCCGCGTGCAGACGCGGCGGTGCCGCGGATCTCGGCACTCGGCCGCGCACCTGGCATCGGCGAGGCGGCGACGTCCCGAGGGGGTTTTCATTGCGGCACACGGCTTGAGCGAAACGGGTAACGCAGAGGACGAGGACGAGGCTGAGGACGAGGCAGGACGAGGACGAGGGCGAGGAGGACGAAGACGAAGGGGGACAGCAGAAGGAGGGCGAGGAGAAGACCTTTGTGGATCCTCCGTTGTGAGAGCCTCCTGGAGGAGTCTGGGGCTGCCCTGGGGTCTTCTTGTGGCCCTGCGTGGGCCATCTCGGCATCTTGGAGCCATCGTGGGTGGGGTGGAGAGGGGGTTGGAGGGGGGGGTGAGGGGAGGGCGGCGGCGGGTGGAGGAACAAGTGGAGATGGAGGAGGTTGGGGGACAGGGGGTTTATCAGGAGAGGAAAAAACACACAGACACAATGAATCCTCGATTCCCCAGAAAATATGGGAAAATATGGGAAGTGGGGGGGAAGACAAAAACCCCAAAAATATTGGAAAATATTGGGGATATTTTTATTTGTGTGTATTTATTTGTGTGTCCCAGGGCCCCTTCAGCCCCACGAGGGTGCGGCCCAGGCCCAAGGGAGGGGGCAGTGGCATAGACATAAACAGTGGCATGAGCAGTGGCATAAACATACAGACTCGGGGGTCCGCGCGGATTTCTCGGATCGGCGCTGGACCCCCCTCCGAGAAATCCGCGCGGACCTCCATGTTTATGTCATTGTTTGTTCCCCAAGGGCAGAGGGAGGGATCAAGCTAGCCCGCCCGAAGGAAGGCTGTCTCGCTCTCTGCCATCCGCCCTCCCACCACAGATGTGAGCAGCTCCCGAGTCTCGGCATGGGCATGGGCCGCAATCGACCGTCATCGGAAGCCAGTGCGGCGTGCCAGGTCACCTCCGTCACTCCTGCAACGATCGCGGGGCGCCAGCGCATGTTCCAAGAGTTTATCTCAGCGTGCGCTGAGCATGTGTGTTTGACATGCATGGTGTGGTGGGTCTGCAGGCGTGGGGCAATACGCCGCTCCCACCCGTCCCTGCCACAACAAAAATGCATTACACAGTCACGGTGCGCCAGAGCGATGCATCCTGTCTTTGTCACGCAGTGCAGTTCGTGTTGTGCTTTGACTGGGTTGGCGTGGGGGGGGGTCGTCATGGTTTCGGGATTGTTGCCTGTTAGGTTGGGGAGGGGGCGTGTACCAATAAGGAGCAGTGATCAAACCCTCCCCGAATAGGGGCTGAAGGGCTCGTTGTGCCTTTTTTAAGAGCCCTGCACCAGGGTTCAGAACAACTTCAGCCTCGCAGAGGTACGGTAGGTTTGCGTCGTGTCGACTCGCGGCGACCCCAGCGTGGGCGTTCAAGGTTGAACGCCGCCGGCGACCCAGAATCGATCGATGTTGAACGATCGGACGTTGCGGCAGCGGCAGATCATTCAAGGTTGAACGATCCCTGCGGTGTCAAAAACCAACGCTGGGGTCGGCACGACACGAACCTGCCGTACCCTTGTGGTCTTCGCGTTTGCCCTCCACCTTGGCATGCTCTTCGTCCTGGGCATCTCCATGGTGCCAATCGCCTTCGGCGGATGGGGCTCGTGTGCTTTGCTCAAGTTCTTGTGACCATTTTCGACTGCGTACAACCTCCGCCCAGAAGGCTGGTCAGTTTAGACTGCGCGATCTTTGCCTGCGCCAAGCCAGCAGCCTGCCATGCCAACTCGCGCCGCTCGTCTGGGCCTGGCGCTCGCCGCATCGCGATACAGGAATGGCAGCCCCTGGATTCTACATGGAGGATCCCCCCCCCCCCGCCATCCTTCTGGGGTGACCAGCGCTTTTGGCGGAGAAAGATGCACTATCCACTACCCAGCTGCCCGCGGCAAGTCCCACCACCGTGCCAGCCCGGCCTCCTGGGTGGCGATTGTTCGAGGAGGCGCGGGAGGCCGTCACGTGTGACACCTCGTCTCCAGGCTTGGGAGAGCCTTGATGAGGATGATGAGGGTGATGACGATGATGATGTTGTCATTGCTGCTGTTGCTGATGATGGTGATGCTGATGATGGTGATGACGACGACGACGGCGCCCACGACGACGATGACATTGATGATGATGCTGGTTAAGATGATGATGGTGATGATGATGATGATGGCAGTAGTGGTGATGATTGTGGTGATGGTGATGCTGATTATGCGTATGCGGGTGGAGATGGTGATCATGATGACGATCATGATAATGTTGGTGATGGTGATGCTGATGATGCTGATGATGCTGAAGCTGATGGTGGTGACGACGACGACGTCGGCGGCAGCGATGACGTTGATGCTGATACTGGTTATGGTGATGCTGGGTACGAAGAGCATACGGGTGATGGCGGTGATGCTGATGTTGAGGGTTACGATTATGGTGGTGATGTTGATGATGGTGGTGTAGGTGAATGGTGATGGTGATATTGTTGAGGATGCTGGTGCTGCTGATGCTGATGATGGTGCTGATGATGCTGCTGGTGCTGATGATGATGATGTTGATCGTGATGAGGATCATTCTGATGACGATGATACTGATGATGGTAACGATGATGATAATGGTGATGGTGATGCTATGGATGGTTATGCTGATGCTGCTGCTGATGATGGTGGTGACGGTGATGGTGATGGCGATGTTTATTATGATTAATTTCATGGTGATGGTGATGATGCTGATAATGATGGTGATGATGCTGCAACTCGTTTTGGGCCGTCAGGGGGCTTTCTTGGGGCCCTCTGTAGCCGTCTTGGGGCCCTCGTGCGCCGACTTGGGACACCCGTGGGCCGTCTTGGGGCCTCTTGGCCGTATGGCGGTTGTCTTGGGGCCGTCGTTTGGCCGTCTTGGCGCCATCTTGGGCCGTCGAAGAGCTTTCTCAGGCCTTCGTGGGTACCACGGGAGGCCCTCTTGTGCCGTCCTGGGGCTGTTTTGGATGCCTCTTGGGCCATCGTGGAGTTCTCTTGGATCGTCTTGACCTGAAGACAGCCTGAAAAGACGAGAATGCGAGCATCATTCAAACACCCACGGGAAATCAATGATTGTGGTTTTTGTTGGACCGTGTTGGAGGTATTTGCGGCCATTGTGGGCCCTCTTGGAGAGGCATCTTGGGCCGTCCTGGATCCATATTCGGCTGCCCTGTGGCCATCTTGGGCCGTCTTCGAGGCATCCTGCGCCATCTCGGTGTCCTCGGTTGCCTGCACGGGCCGTGCTGGACACTCGGGGCGCATTCCCATTGTTTTCACAAGGGATGGTGGCCTGGGAGGCCCTCCAGCGCTCGGGACCAGCGCCTGGGAATGCAGGGCCATGCGGGAAGTGCACGATCCTCGAGCGGGCGCGCATGGAATGAGAGCTCAGGCACTGGCGCCATGCGAGAAGTGCGCCACCCTCGAGCGGGCACGCGTGGAAGAGGGGTTCTGGCATTAGCTGCCATGCAGGAAGTGCACCATCCTCGAGTGGGCACGCGTGGAAAGGCGGTTTCAGGCAAATAGCTGCCACGCTTGAAGTGCACCATCCTCGAGTGGGCACGCGTGGAAGGGGGGGGGTCAGGCATGAGCTGCCACGCTGGAAGTGCACCATCCTCGAGCTGGCACGAGGGAAGTGGCTTCGGAAAGGAGGAGCGATGCATTCAACAGTCCGCGAGTAGACGGCGGGGGGGAGCCCCTTCTTAGAGTTCCAAACATTATGTCAGACAGACCTTGGCATTCTTCCACGCCTCAACGTGCCAGGGGCACGGTGGCGGATTCTTCCCCCACAGTTGCGGCAGCTACGGAGCTGCCGTGCTTCAGCTCTTGTTGCATGCTCTGCTTCGCGGCATGGCGAGAGACCTGTCTCCCGCGACCTTAGTCCGCTCAAACACTTGTCATTATTAGACCGCGCGTTTTTTTACATGGTTAATGAAGACACAACTAGGTCAGGGCAAGGACGGGACAATAGCCCCTCTCTCTTTCCCTCGCCCCCCAACGGGCCCCCAGATTTACCAGTTCCAGCGCCGTGTTTGTCATCGTGCTGTCGCAGTGTTTTCTGATTGTTTTCCGATCCTAGTTCTGGCTCCGATCCCGGAGTTGTTTTCTTTTCCGTGTTTCTGGGTCATCATGTAGTTTTTCACCGTCCTCACGTTTCGAGACATTTTTTTGAAAACGGCAAGAACATTGACTTGCCGTTTCTGGGACCATATCAATCACCATTGTTCCTCAGTCGTCGATCCTCCTCGATCCTTCCCCGAGTCCCCCTCGTGGAGATGCCTCGATCCTCGCTGGGATCCGACGTCGTGAAAACAATGCAACATGTTGATCAAACACAACCGGAGCCCTAGATCCAATCTTCCTGCTGTATTTTCTGAGCCGGATTGATCTGTGATGGTCCCGGGGCCTGAAATTGGGCGCAAGCGCCCGCTGTGAAAAAGTTGCAGCGCCCAGATCTCAAGGTTTGCCTTTCATGGATCTTCGACCCTCCTCGATCCTCGATCTTCCTCGATCCTGCCCGATCGCGGCCCCGGCACCGCTGGAGCCCCCTGGGTGGCGAGGCCCCGTGACCTCGCGGGGGCAGTGCCAGCTGATGTGCTCACACCGCGAGTCCGCCGCCGCCCCGCCTCTCGGAGGGAAGGAAGTTCAGCGGCAACGTTGGTGTCCTCCTCTCCTCCTTATCCTCCTCCTCCTCCTCCTCCTCCTCCTCCTCCTCCTCGTGCTCCTCCTCCTCCATAGCCCTGGCACTCGACCAGCTTTCAGGGCGAGTGGCCACCTGGGCTAGGCGTGTGAGGAGGTCTGTCCAGCGCCCACGCGAGGGGTGTGTCCATCCGGGCCAGGAGGTTTTCGAAGTGCCCACGTTGAGGGCGACAGTCCATGTGGGCACTTGCGACAGGACACACCGCCTCAAAAAAGACTGGCGACACTCCGCCTCCTCCTCCTCCTGCTCCTCCTCCTCCTCCTCCTCCTCCTCCTCCTCCTCCTCCTCCTCCTCCTTCCCCTCCCCCTCCCCCTCCCCATCCCCCTCCCCGTCCCCCTCCTCGGCTTAGATGCTCGTTTGGGGGGACCTTCCTAGGGCCCACCTACAGGATCTGATCGACTCTAGTCTGCCCGCAGTTCCATGAAAGTTCGGCTCAAGGTCGACCCAGATCCGACTCCGATTCGACTCAGGTTCGATTCAAGATCAACCCAAATCGACGGACGTCCGACGCAGCTTCGACGCACGAGCGGAGCGATTGTCTTCAGAAAGGTCCCCAGAATGAGCATCCGATTAGTGCGGGATGGTTCAGCCAGGGGCAACGTTATGTGGTTGTCTAAGGTGGTTTTCATGCAGGGAAACGATTAAAAACATCGCCCCCCCCCGGACCCCCCAAAATGATTGAGTGGGGCGGACTAAAAGAATTCAGCCGCAGGAAACTGTTTTTCTAATCGTCCGCCCCCTGTCGTTTGTGCTTGTGCCCCTTTGGGGGAACTGATTTTCTATTCTTTCCCCTTCGCTCGCTTGATCACCCGCGGCCGCGGGGGGAGGATTGCGGAGGGGGGACGGGTTAATTAGGGAAGGGGTTGTCGAAGAGGCGCTTGATCACCCTCGTCCTTGCGGACGGCCGCCGGTCGTCCTTGCGGACGGCCGCCTGTTTTGCTTTTCTCCGCCAGAATTGTCTTCCGCGCGCGCCGTTGCGCAATTTGAGGGGGGGCGCCCGCCCCCCTTGCCCGCCAGCAGCCCGCCTCCCTCGGCGGCGGCTGCTGCCAGCGCAGCCCAGGCAGCCGAAGCAGAGCTTCAGCAAGCGCAGCAACAACTTAGACGTCCGCTGGGCAGGGGAGGCGGCTTCAGGCAGCAAGGGTTGGCTGCCTTCTTCCCTGGGGCTGCGCCGCCCCCGCCGAGCTGCCTGCCCTTTCTGCGCGCAGGCGGCGCGCGAGGGCCGAAGCCGAAGTCAGCCCTGGAACTGGAGCGAACGAGGGCGCAGAAGCGAGCGGCTCTCTCCCTGCAGGCGGCCGAGAGGCGAGTCAGGGCGGCGCAGGAAAGCGAGCGCACGGCGCAGGCAGCAGCGTCTTGCTGCGACCAATCGCCGCCGACCCTTCCGCCACTGGCTGACTGCAACACGCCACTGGCTGACGGTGGCGCGCCGCTGACTGACTGCGACGCGAGCCCGGCTGGCGCTTTGCCGCTGGGCGAGGCAGGAGCGGTCATCGAGGACTCGCTGGCGGAACTGCTCCCGTGGAGAGGGAGACCACCAGGCAGCGCCGGGGTTCCTCCTGGCGTGGCGGGCAAGGACTTGGCGAGGGAGATCGTCGAGGCCAGGCAGGCTAGTGGCGTCGCGAACCTGCAAGCACCCACTCCTTCCAGGAAGCTCGACCTCAGGAGGCGGGCAGACGAGCTGGTCCAGGAGCACGCAGGAGAAAGGACAGAGGCGTTCTGGAGACGCCTGGCTGCAGAGACTGGCTACACCGCGAGGGCGCTCAAAGCACTACTTGCGAGACAGCGAGCAAGAGAAGACGCAGACTTGGTTTGCTGCCAGGAACGCAGAAGCTACCAGGGCGAGAAGCCACTGGTCTACTCCTGGCTGGTCTCGCTGGGTCTCCAAGGATAGGGGCGTCAGGCTGGCCGCGGACGGAGGCAATAATAAGACAAAGGACGCTGAATGGCCTGACCACGAAGAGGCAGTAAACAGTAAGCCAGTGGGCCAAGAGTCTGATGATGACAGGCGTGTCGCTGTCGGCTCTTTGGCTCGAGTGCTCCAAACAAAATGATTTCTAGCGGAGGCCTGCAGGGTGGCCGCCGCGGCGGGATCATTTTTTAAAAATTGTTGTTGGGGTCCCAATCCTTCAATAAACCCGCGGAAACAAATAATTATTTGCCCATGATTGCCCGGAGGTTGATTAGAGACCCTGCTGGGTTGTTCTTAATTATTTATTCGATTGACTGGTGGCATTTGGCTATCGGGTTGCTTCCACATACATGGTTCATTGAACCAGCGTTCCGTTTGCTGACTCTTGCCCGGCCGAGGTTCGTTCGAAAAATATCATCCGACGACTCAGGGCGACCTTCGGGAAGTATCGGTGAGGGGGTGACACATCGACCCCTCGTCGCCCACTGATCGCCGTCACGGGCCCGACAGGACCACCCTCCAGGACCCTGCGGATTTGCTATCGGGAGCCCATTGCCCACCTGGTGGCGACGCGTCGCCGCTCCCAGGTCGATGCATCGCCCCCTGAGCCGGCCCTCCGCTCGCCTTCCCCGTCGCAGAGGTTCGTGCGTCCAGGAGCGGCTTCCACCAGAGGCCGTTGTGCAAGGCAGGGCTTGTGCGGACTCTGGCGGTGGCGCTGGCACAGGCATTGGAGGCTGAACTCGACCACCTGCCTGCATTCGGCCTGCTTGGGACGATCTCCTGCACTGAGAATTCCGGCAACCGTCAACGCTCAAGGATCCACGCGGCGTCGTAAAGCAATGGCGACGTCATCGCGACGTGGATTTGCTGCACAAGCCTTCGTTGAAGGATGTTTTTCACTGGCTTCCCATGGTTATCCTAATGTATAGCAGGCGCTCTCTTAGTTTGGGAATCGACGGACCTTGTTTTGGCGTTGTCGGAGGGACCAGGGAAAGGGTCACATGCACTGTATGGCAACCGCCCTCCGACCTCATCATATCACGTGCGTCGTCCGATCTGCTTTTATCCAGCTGCCGGCGGCAACCCCCGCCACCGCGCTTGTGCAACAGCGCAGCAGGAAGGTGTCTGAACGTACGAAAGCTCAACGCCGACGAGTGGTCTGCATTTGGGCGGCTCGTGATCCCGACCTCGTATTCTTCCGCGCGGTAGGAGGAGGAGAAGGAGGACGAGGAGGAGGAAAATGAGGAGGAGGAAAATGAGGAGGAGGAACATTAGAATGAGGAGGAGGAGGAAGAGGAGGAGGAGGAGAAGGATAGAGAAAGAGATAGAGAGGAGGAGTAGGACTTTTTGGGGCTATCGTGGGGCCTCCTGGAGGCTTCCTGGGAGATTCTTGGAAGCGTCTCTGGGGCCTCTTGGGAGCCTTATGGGATCTCTTGGGGGCTGTCTTGGAGCTAAATTGGAGGCTTCCCGGAGGCTTCCTAGGCCGTCTTGAGCGGTCGGAACCTCGAACAGGGCAGAACCTGAAAGCCCTTCAAGCATTCAAGGCGAATCGATAGTTTTTGCTTCCTCGGGCTCTCCAGGAGGACCGCTTGGAGCCCTCTTGGGCCGTCCTAGGGTTTCTTGATCTGCCTCGTGGCTGCCTTGAGAGCCTCTTGGGCCGTCTTGGGTCATCTTGGTGCTATCTTGGCTGCCTTGAAAGCCGTCCTGGAAGCCATGAGGCCCCCAGGAAGGCCTCAAGATAGAAGGCCCCCAGGACGGCCCACGAAATCTCCAAGAAGCCCTCCAGGAGAGCCCGAGAAGGCCCCCCCGATTGATGTTGTTTGGTTGGTATGATGGGTTTGAAGGCTCTGGCATGTTTGGGCTTCCGACCGCCCAGGTGGGGAGGAGATGGGGAGGGAGGATAGGATGGAGGAGGGCCCCCTCCTGCACGACGCTGGGGTCTCCCCTGCTGGTCCTCGTCCCTCGCCGGCGGGCGAGGTCTTGCAACTACTACGTCTTCTGGGACAGCTTCGTGTCCGGCAATGCTCGGAGCGGCCGGATGTCGCGAACCGCCGCCAATGACCATGAATCGAAGAAGACAACACGGCATAGCCACAATTTCTCTAAGTTCCGCGCGGATTTCTTCGATCGGCCCCCCCTGGCGGCGCTTCGGGCGTCGCCCCTGGCGCGCTCCGCGCGCTAGGGGGGGGGTCCCAGCGCCGATCCAAGAAACCCGCGCGGAGCTCCAACAAGTTTCTTTTGTTATCTTATGTAATCACCACGGAGAATCGGTTTCACCGACATGTCGGCGGAGAGCCCAGGCGGGAAGTGAGAAAGGGTGGCCTTCCCAGAAGGCTTGGAAGTTCCCAGACCTTCTGAGAAGTGTTCTAAGCCGCTCCTGAGGGCACCGAAGACTTCTGAGAAGGCGCGAGGGCCTCTGAGAGGTCCCGCCGCCTTCTCCTTCTCATCTCCCCCCCTCGCTCGCCGCCGGAAATGGGCACGGGCAGAATGGGAATGGAGATTGGCTTGCAAGGAGGGAGAGCAACACACGGACACAATGCATCGTCGACGTCCCCCCTTGCAGCTCGTCTTGCAGGAGGGAAAGCAGCACACGGACACACTGCATCGTCGACGTCCAGGAGGATGTGGGAAGATATGGGAAGTGGGGGGGAAGGCAGGAACCCAGAACATACGGGAACAGATGGGGGATCCTGGTATTTGTGCCTATTTATTTGCGTGTCCCAGGGCCCCTTCAGTCTTGCTGGGCCCCCCCGTCGTCCTGAACCTGGCCAGCTTGGGCCGCTGCTGTCATGATCGTGCGAGTTCTGCTTCTGTCCTGCCCAGCCGGCACGCGTGCGCCCGCGGACGTTCCACTCGGCCAGAGGCATGGCCCGGCCCGCGAGCGCTCAAAGTACGCGTGCTTCTGCTGGTGTGTGCGTGTAAAAGCTCTGCGTGTGTGTGTGTGTGTGTGTGCGTGTGAGAGCTAGCCCAGTCGCGCGCACGCTCGCCTCGACCGTCTACGCCTGGCCGCCGCGGGCGTGGCCGCGACGCCGAAATCTGTATGGGCCCCTTGTAACCTCCTAGTGGCTACCCTCTCTTGCGCGTCATGCGTGTGATGCTGCGTGTATGTGTGTATGTGCGTGCGCGTGGGTGTTGTCAGGTGCCTCATGGATGAACCCAGTGCTCCTCGCCAGGCTGGGTGAGTGAGACCGTGTCGGGAGCCTTGAGACGGGGGTCAATGCAAACGGTGTCAGTCAGAGCGCCCGATCTTGCAGGATCCTGCAGGGCCATGGTCGCATGGACCTGGGCTTGGGTGCAGGATCCTGCAGGGCCCTGCAGGATCCTGGAGGATCCCAAAAGGCCCGGCTGACCCGGGTCTGGACTGACCCGGGTCAGGAGATCCCCGACTTGGCTGCTTCGGTTGCCTAGGCGGCTCCTCCTGGGCGGTGTTCGGCTGCCTCTGCCGCGTCGGTGTGCCTGGCTTGGCAGCGACGCCACGCAAACACGCACGCGGTTCGCGCTTCTGTGCAGGACGCTGGGCCCCGCTGCGGCCCCCACCCCCTCCTGGACGCCCCCTTTCTTGAGTTGAGCTCAAGCGCTGGCAAAGCGTCCTGGCTCGCCTATATAGGCCCACCAGAGAGTTCTCTAAGAACCTCGGGTGGTCTGCACGCAGTGTTCTCAGAACATTTCTGGCTGGAACTGCCCTGGTTTATAACATCGGGTTTGTGTTATACTAGCATATCTTTTATGGTAGCACTTCATAGGAGCCTGGTCTACCCTCTTAATTCCGTCTTTCGCGTCTATTAGCGTGTGGGAGTCGATGAGATAGTGCCGATGCAGCGTCGGCTAGCGTCGACTCAGCGTCGAATCGGCGTTGATCAGCGTCGATTTAGCGTCGGGTAGCGTCCATTCGCCAGAGCCGACAAGATGGTACGGGAGGCTTCCATGAGTTGCCACCGAACTCCTTGAGTTGAACGTCCCTGAGCCTCCGAACGCTTGTGCCCTCCGCAGGGGCACGGTGTCGTATCCTGGCACCGGCGCTACCTTAAGCGGAGGGCACACTGTCAGGGTTCTGGCCCAAGTCGGCGGAGACAAGAAGGCGGCCGTTGCTTTCCGTGGTGAAGGGTTCGACTCCCTCTCATCACGTTCTTTTTCATGTCAGGTGTGGCACTTGTTTGCCCTCCTGGGTCTGCGTAGCCGGCCCGCAGGATCAGGGTCGGCGCAGCGGGGTCCGCGGTATCAGGACCTGTGTCGCTCCAGAGGCGAGGATAGGAGCATCCGGAAGCTCAAAAGTCGCCTCCTCGCAGCACCACCGGAGCGGCACACCGCCTCAAGGAAGGCGGCCGCGAGTGGGCCAGGCGACTTGCCCTTGTCCCGTTCCGTCGCACTTATTCGCCTAAGTGCTCCCTTCGGGGATGCGACGTTCGTTGTCGCTTATGCACAGCTCCACAGCTCCACAGCCTCCGAACGCTTGTGCTGGTGTCGTTCCTCTGCTCCTCCTGGTCTTGGCAGCAGGTGCCCAGCCGCCTCGCGGCGGGGATGCGTGCCCGGCTGCTCCCCAGGCGGGCCCTAGAGCAGCCGCGGGCGCTCTGTCGGAGGCGCGTTGAAGGGGCGGTGAGATCCAGGCAATCATCATGGGGACCATGACCAGGATGTCGTGGGGTCTTATCGGCGCCCGTCCTGGTCATGGTTTCATGAGGTCAGGGCTCGAGAGACGGGGGGTCGATGCAGACGGGGGTCAGCCCGAGCGCCAGATCCTTGCAGGATCCTGCAGGGCCAGGGTCGCCTTGCCCCGGGCTTCGGTGCAGGACCCGCCCCCGGGGGAGGCCCCCCCCGGGCGAGGAGCGGCCGGCCGTGGTGCCGCCTGACCGAGTCCTGCGCGTCGCGGTCCAGGGAGCTGAACCCGAGGAGCCGCCGCGCCCCCTGCGGGAGGGGGAGGGGCGATGGGGGAGGAGGCGAAGGAAGCGGAGGGGGGGGAGTGCAGGCGGAGGAGGGGGTGGAAGAGGAGGATGGGGAGGAGGAGGAGGAGGAGGAGGAGGAGGAGGAGGAGGAGGAGGAGGGAGAAGGACCGCTGCAAACCCAAGACTCATCAATGATGTTGCCATAAACCCTGACTCCGCTGGAAGACACCGCTGGAAGACACCCGTTCGAAAATCTTAAATTGTGCCAGAACGCCATCCCTGGGCATTCAACGCCACGAATCACCGCTACTGTTGCGTATTGACGATCCCGAGTCGTGCCTTCACACCATTTTGGGACTTCAACACCACAAGTCCACGTAACTGCTGCGCCCTGCCAGTCAGACATCGTGCCAGGACATAGCTTTTGTGATGTTACCCATGATAACCCTTGTGGAACTGTTGTAAAAGCTTTTTAGGCGAATGTGCACGGCGCTGAGGCGAGAGCAACATTATGACAACCACCTGAGGTGGAAAAACGCCTGCTGGCGGGTGGTGCCACCTCGGGAGGCAATGGAGGGGGGAGGCAGAGGAGGAGGAGGAGGAGGAGGAGGAGGAGGAGGAGGAGGAGAAGGAGGAGGAGGAGGAGGAGGAGGGAGAGGGATCACCAGGGAGATGAAGAGGATCAAAAGGCAGAAATCCATGGAGGGGGGAGCGGGGAGGAGGAGGAGGCGGAGAATGAGTTAGAATTCGGCGACGGCGAGGTCGAGAAACGCCAGCTGGAACGTGGTGCCATCTGCCATATCCGGGGCAGAGGAGGAGGCGGAGGAGGTGAAGGGAGAGGGATACTGAGAGGAGCGTTTGATTGTTGTAAGAGAGACAAGGAGGATGCGGACGAGGAGGAGGAGGAGGAGGCGGAGGAGGATGAGGAGGAGGAGGAGGAGGACGCGTAGGGGGCAGAGGAGGTGGACGAACAATATATTTATATATATATATATATATATAAAAATGTATGTATGTATGCATATATATATATATACATACATACATATGAGGAGACAGAGGAGGGATGATCAGGAGGAGAATGAGGAGGCGGGGGGGGGGCGAAGGCGAGACCGGGAAGAGGAGGCGATGGAAGGAGACCATCGAGATACATCAGCGGTGCTGTAACACACCCTCCCTTCCTGACTCCCCAGGTTCCCTCACATGTCACGACAGACTACCTTTTCCAAGGATGCAGGCACCGCCCCTTTCAGGTCAGCACCCTATGGACCTGGTGCCGGCTTGGCACCTGCCTCGTATTTGGAATAGGTGTTGTCCTTGCACCCCTCTAGCGCAGAGTTTTGAGTGCGACAGAGTGCGACCCAGCACAGCAGCTCAAGGGAGGTGTCCAGCGACATCCCCGTGCTGGAAACAGAACCACCTGATCTGTGTGAGCGCTAGACAGGTTTACAGTTCTGGCTGCTCACTTCGAGGAGCCAGCCTCCGTCCGTTGAGCTGCTAATTAGGTGTGTTCCAGTCATTGGCCTCGGTGTAGAAAGAGGCATCGCTCGATACTGCCGTTTTGACCAGATCCCTCCACGGAGCTTGCTGTTGCCAAGTTGTGCTTCTGTTGTTGTGTCCTCGCTGCCTCGGACAAGCACCCTTGGGTGCGAGAGGGCAGCCACGCGATACAACTCAGGCCTCCTGGAAGGGAAGCGAACATCTTCTGCAAAGGCGACGAGTGGAGCAGGAGGAGGAGGAGCAGGACGAGGGGGGGGCACACGGATACGGGCTCGAGGTCTGCCACAGGGCAGGCAGGTGCGAGCGGAGTCTTGGGCTGGGCTCCGAATTCATCCACTTCGAGCTAGGCAGCAGCTCGCTGAACAGACATGCCTAGCGCCGTGCATCGTCACCACTCGTGCTGGAGGCTCATCATGAGGGCTGGAATCCCAGGGACTCCTTGCTTCGTGAACCGCTTCTCGAGTGGCGTGGGGCTCTCCCCGGTCTTGCGCCTGCAGGCAGCGTCGTGCCCAAGCCCTGCCACGGTTCGGCGATGAAGGGCCAGGCCACCCGTGCGACGGTGCGTTCGTTGGTCTCCTCCGGCTCAACCTCCCGCTGGTCCTGTTCTTCTCCCTTCCAGGCCTGCCAGGGCTCATCTCGATTTCTCCGGTTCGATTCGATTCCGATTCCGGTTCCGATTCGATCGACACGGGATTCCGATCTGGGTGCCGATTCCTTATTGGAGGCATATTAGCCTGCCGACTTCTGCCGATTAGACTCCTCCCGACTCGGCTACCGATTCCGCCGATCCAATCCCGAGCATTTTCTTTGGGTGGAGGGCAAAGGGTGAAACCTGAAATGCCGTTTCGATTGGTTTTCGATGCTTGAATCTGCAGAAGGTGAGTCACCAGACGGATCGATTTTCGAGGTGCAAGAGCCCACATGGATTTCACCCTGAGCCCTCTACCCTGAGAAGATGCTCAGCAATCCATTTCGATCGCCGATCCGACTTCTCGATCCGATGCTGGGCTCTTCTGATGGCCCAGTGGGGCCAGAGCAGATGTGGTCGGAGGACAGCGCGTCTCTCGCACGCCGTCGGGCCTTGCCACCCCCAGCAGGAGGGGTTCGGTGGACCCCCTCCGAATCTGGTACACCCTAGGCGATGCCTAAGAAAACGTAAGGTTTCGGCCAGAGTCTTCATTATTCTTATTGCTTCCATGGAAAACTGAGTAGAAATTTGGGGTTTTTATTCAAATTCTGAGACTCTGAATTTCTTAACCCATGATTTCTTAAGCATTTCGCAGGGTGTACCCCAAGCTGCTGTGAGCGCCCCCCTGCTCGAAATGCCGAGTGGCTCGCCGTCGTCCTCGTGCCTCTCGGAGGGCGGGCCGACGCCGGCCCGACCCTCAAGCGCCTTCCTGCCTCGTGTTTTTTCGCCCACCTTCTCTCAGCGGCCGGTGCACTGCATCGTTGCTCCTTGTGATTTTGGGCCTTCGTTCATCGCATCATCGCCATAATGCGTCATCGACATCGTCGTCATCGTTCTCAGCATCGTCGTCGTCGTGGTGATCGTCGTCGTCCCCGTCGTCGCCGCCACCACCACCATCATCGCCCTTATCATCATGACCATCATCATCGTCATCATAATCATGGTCCTCATCACCACCATCATCATCATCATCATCATCATCAGCAGCAGCATCATCACCACAATCATCAGCAGCAGCATCAGATGCATCATCATCAGCATCATCGTCGTCGCCGTGGTGATAACTATGTCGTGCCCTCAGCTTGCCGTGCCCCTCGCCCCCGTGCGAGGAACATGGGCCCGAACATGGGCACGGCCTTCCAGAAGGAGGCCCCGCGCGGCCGGGGCGCGCGGCTGCGCGCGGCTGCCGCCGGGGCCGTTGCCCCCCCCCCCCTGCCCGCTTTCTTGGCACTCGCGCGAGGAGGGACAGACGGTCGGGCACGCCGAGGCGAAGGACACGTCGATCCGATGGATGCGATTCGATGCGGTCGGAGTCGACAGTGAGGATTGGCACCTTGCCCAAGGGTGCAGGTAACCAATCGATGTGATTCGATGCGGTCGGAGTCGATAGTGAGGATCGGCACCCTGCCCAAGGGTGCAGGTGACCCACACGGCAAGGATGGGCAGCCTTCCCCAGGGGTGCCCTTGCATCCTTGCCCACTCGGCACGTCCTTGACCAGTTTCGTTGGCCGCGTCCCGCTCGAGAAGCTTCGAAACGGGCGTCCAAGGCCCTTGCATCCTTATCGCGCACCCTTCTGATACGGGTCGACTGTACCCTTGATGATGACGATAACGATGGCGTTGACGTCATGGTCATCGTGATCATCGTCATCGTCATCGTCATGATCGTCATCGTTATCGTCACCGTCGATCCGAATCGATACGGTCGAGATCGATGGTAATGATTGGTCACCTTCCCCACGCTACCCTTGTATCCTTGCCTCGTCGGTCCATCCTCAACTCATTTCGATGGCCAGCCCCGCTCAAAAAGCTTAGACATAGGCGTCCAAGGGGCTTGCACCCTTATTATTGTGACTGTACAGAGTTCGGCCGGCTCGAGCTTGTTTGATTCCAATATCCAGACGGTCCGGTGTGTCCTGGCGTTTGCACTGTGCATTTGAGTCGTTTGGTGCGGCCGAGCTTGTTCTGTTTCGACTCCGCGAAGAGACAGCCCGATCCGACGCACATTCCGATTCGATCAGATCTAACAGTTCGATGCTCCTGATTTTTGGCAGACTCACGCAGATGCGGTTCGATTCCGATTTGATTCCGATTCCGATTCCGATTCAAATTCGAATTCATTTCCAATGTATATATATATATATATATATCTATTCGATCCCGGTCCGAGTGATCTCGGGCAGACCCAGGAAGAGTATCAGTCGCTCCTGGGCGCTCCAGAACGCTCCAGCTCTGGACCGGCCGCTGCGCCAGATGCATGCTCCGGAGCCGCCAGAATTCAGATAATTCCCGATTTCTGTTCCTCCGATTTTCAGAAGGCGACAACCCACCCCCACCCCCAGTCCCGACGCCCATCCCCGAGCCAGCGATTCAAGGGGCCGGGACTGGGGGTGGTGGTGGGTTTCCTCCATCCCTGGACCCCGAAAGCCCACCCCCACCCCCAGTCCCGACTCCTTGAATCGCGGGTTCGGGGATGGAGTCGGGACTGGGGGTGGGGGTGGGTTTTCGCCTTCTCAGATTTGGTCGTCATCGTGCCCCCACCTTCATCGGATGGTCCCTGCAACTTCCTTCCGATTGTGTTGTGTCCGCCGTGTCCGTGGTCATGCGACGCATCGACGCCGGCTCTCCGTGGAATCTGCACCGGGCCGATGGCGAATGATCACGGGAGCAGGATGCGGAAGACATCTTCGGCGATTGCTCTAAGTTGGAGGGCTGATGATGGTTAGAGGAGGGTGACCGGAGAAGGGTAAGAGGAGTGGGAGGAGGAGGGGGAGGAGGACGAGGAGGAGGAGGAGGAGGGGCAGTGGACCAGCTGGAGGCGGGCCAGGAGCTGGACCAGCTGGAGGCGGGCGAGGAGGCGAAGGAATATGAGCAGGCGATGAGGCTGGGGGCGAGCGGGGCGCGGAGCTGGATAATGAGGCGGAGGAGGAGGAGGCCAAGCGCGTGGCTGGATGTTGATGACTGTGCTGTTGCTGTTGCCGTTGGGGGACAGGGTACGACGATGACGCTTCTGATGCAGATGATCGCGCGAGCTCTCGCGAGGCGTTCGGGGGGCGCTGCCTCAGTCGCCGCTGCGGCCGCAGGCCCCGAGGTGCAGGGCCCGAAACCCCGCGCGCGCGCGGACGCAGTTTTGGCGGAGCTGCCTCTGTCGGACGGCCCACGCCGTGCGGCGTCACACCAGCATACCGATGCTATGCGTGCTTCGCCTCCCCCCCCCCACCCAGGAGCGACGCGCGCCACGAGAAGCCTTCTGGTATATGCGTCGTGGCGGGATCGTTCTGGCCACACAGCTCGGGAAACGATGCAACACAAGATTGGTATACCATACGTTCGGGTCGGACGTGCGCCTCCAAGGAGGACACATTGTGTTTGCCTGTCTCTGCTCGTCCCATCCTTTGCGACGGGGACCGTCCTCTCGCCGCCGGCACCGAGGTCGGCTTGGGCTGCGAGCCCACTCCTTGACGGTCGGACGACGTGCCTCCGATCGGCCTGCGGTGACCGAGCCAGGCAGACCGAGGCAAAGCCAGCAGAGGTCCTCTGAGTGAAGCCCAGAGATCTCCAGGGAAAATCTGGAGATCCCCGGAGATCGAAGAGATGCGAAGAAGAAACACCGCCATGGACATAGGACATACACTTCTCGCCCTCCGCGCAGATGTCTTGGATCCGCGCTGGCCCCCCCCCTCCCCCCCGACGCGCGGAGCGCGCCAGGGGCGGCGCCTCGCGCCAAAAGTTGACTTGTACTGTGGTTGTTGCTCTTCTTCTAGAGATCTCCGGAAATCTCTGCCCTCCAGGGAGACTTCCGGAGATCTCCCGGGTGAATCCACGGATCTCCACGGCCTGCGACGCAAGTCTCACCTCCCACCAAACCGCCCCAACCCAGCCCGAAGGCCCCCATTTGCTTTCCATTCCCAGTGAGGGGGGGGCATGACAAAAACACGGGTGGAACCCGTACCCCCATCGCCTCCAACCTGAAATTCGGCCGCGTCTTCGGGTTGGGGTGGGGTGGTTTGGTACGCATTCAATATCGAAACAACTCTCTGGGGTCCCTCCCTCCCGCCCTCCCTCCCTCCGCCTCCTCCAGACAGCCGCGCAGGGCTCCCTCGCACTTCGTTCGCACAGAGAATGCAACGACCTCTCCGAGGCACCGCGCAGCTGCTCATGTGCACACTCTTTGCACGCCACCGCAGAAATGTACACCTGCGAGCTGCCGAATCGCCTGCCGATGCGCCACCTCGGCGCGGCCTTCTTCCTGTCCTGTCCTGTCGCCAGGGACGTGCGGGGGCGCGCCCCCCCGCGCGCCCCGGGGCGGGGGGAGGGCCTGGCCGGGGCGGCGCCTCCCCTCCGGTGTTTGCCGCGGCCTCGGCTTCTGCGCGCGCAGGTGGTCTCGGCGGGGCCGCGGGGCGCCCTTCGTCGGAGGTGCTCAGAAGGGGGCAACGTTGGGGTTAGAATTAAGTCGGGTCTGTCCCTCTTCTACAGGAGGAATGCCAACAAATATTTTAAGTAGTAGTCTAGGGACGATTTTTTGTTACCATATTTGAATATGGTTTGACTGTGTTTTATCCCTCGTCCCAAAACCCCCTGTAGGAGGACACGCCCGACCGAAGGTTAGAAACGGTGTCTTTTCAAAACGGTCGAACACGAAACCATCCGAACGCGCTCCAGGAAGAAGGCTCTTCAGAGGGTTTGGCGCCGACGCCTCTGCCCTGCCCCCCTTCCCCCCCCTGCCCTCGCGCCCAACGCCTACGCACGTACGGCGAGACACTCAATGCGGACCTGCGGCGCGGACCACGTCGCTGCATGCAGGCTCTCTCCCCCCGCCGTTGGATGCCTTGCTAAACGTGGCGGACAGAGCGTAGAGCTCAAAAAAAAACCTCGTCGCTGCACGGGCACGCCTCGCGCAGGGGTGGTGCCGCAGACCACGCGGTCGGCAGGTGCCCGAGGCATTCCACCAGCATGCAACCCTCTGGAGTTGGAGCGGCGCAGAGCGGGCACGCGCACGGGACACCCGTGCTTCCCCCGGAACGCGGCCAGCCGCCCTCGCCAGTGCCTGGTAGCAGCGCCGCACCGTGCCCACCGTGCGCCGGAAGGCAGCAGCTCCTGCACCGGAAGCAGTTACCGGTAGGGGGCGCGTCCGCTGGTACCCAGCGCGCCCAGCAGCGTGATGAGCCACGCAATGGAGGGTGAATGTGGGGGTCGGGCGCAGGGTCCCGGCAATGGTGTCCCTATGGGCCACGCATGGGCGATACATCCTCGATTGCTGTGTTCGGCGCGGGAACCAGTTGAAGTTCCCCGCCTGCACCCATGCGCGAGACTAGAGGGTAAATGAAGCAGGGGGTCGGGGGGCTGGGGAAAGGCGACGAAAACAACGCGCGCTGAGGGCGCAATAAGAGAAGGTTGGAATAAAAGCGGCGGGATGAGTGTCAAAATCTGCCCAGCCAATCTGACACGCGGAACACTGCGCCTCAGTTTGGAGGATCTTGAGGGCCAAGGCAAAATGTGAATGCACATCGTGGGGGAGAGCAAAATGTGAGTTTACATGTTGGAAAATGGAAAGAGTGAGTTCACAGTTTGGAAAATAGTAGTTGTGAAGCCACGTTTAGAAAGTCTCGACAGGACTATGTCTGAAAAGGGGCCAGCATCTGAATTCACACTTTGGGAAAAAGGAATATGTGAATTCGCATGTTGGGAAGAAGGAGCATCGGAATTCACATGTTGGGAGAACCGCGGGACCCATTCCAAATCTGTCGTAGGTGTCGACAAGTCACCGTTTGGGAACATAAGCGATCATCAATCGCATAATCAAGACACTCGTGCTTTCCACTTCGCCGCCCCACGCGCGATATGCCAGAACGCCCGCACGCACGAACGATAATGGATGGACGGCGCTTTTTCCCGCGAGGGCAACGCGCGGGCACGAACGACTGGCCCTCCATGACCGCCAGCATGAGATGCCAATCGCACCCGATCGCAGACATGAGCGATAGATTGAGCATACATGGGCCATTCAGCCCCCATTGCAGACCACTTGTTGCAGACCCCTTTTTTTACCCTCCAAATGCAAGACCTGGCGCCTGGGAGGCCGGCAACACCACTGAACGCAGCCCCTGCTTGGCCGCCCGCCGGCGCGCTCTTTGCTCCGCGCGGGCCGCTTCGGAAAGTGCATGGCAGGAGGAGGACGGAGAGTAGGAGGCCACAGTCGAAGCCCACCCCATCACCCTACGAATTCTGAGGGGGGGGGGTCGGGTTCGCATGTGGCATCCTACGGAGGAAGAGGCGGAGGCTAAGGAGGTTGAGGGGGTGGATGAGCCCATGGGGCGAAAGGCTGCGCAGTGAGAGAGGGCGGAGCTTCAGCCCTCCGCGGCCCGTCGGCCCTGCCAGGCGGCCGTTGCGGGCAGAGCGGCGACGGCGGTGCTGTACATGACCGCCGTGGGCGCGAGCCCCACTGGGGGGGGTTCGGTGGCAGCTCACGGGGGCCTGGCATACCCCCTCAATTCCGTTTTTCGCGTCGATTCGCGTCGACTGGCGCCTGGGAGTCGACGGGATGGCGCCGGTTCAACTTAGGCTGGCGTCGATGAGGGTCGGCTTGGCGTCGACGAGCGTCGGTTTAGAGTCGACCAGGCGTCGATGCGCACGATCCGTCAAGATGGCATGGGGGGCTCCCACGAGTTGCCACTGAAGGGAGGCGAACCCCCCAGGAGTATTTTTTGGTTTGCCCCGCGGTCTCCCATGCTCGAAGGGTGGCGTCGAGGCCCCCCATCCGACAGAAGCGAAGCACGGGGGCTGGGAACCCAGGACAGCGAGCGGAGCCCCAGGGGCGGCCCGAGGAGGCGGGCGGGGAGGACGAGATCGGAAAGTGGAGCATGTACGAGGGGAACGAGCAATGGCATAAACACAAAGACTCTGAGGTCCGCGCAGATTTCTCGGTTCGACGCTGGACCCCCCGCCGCGCAGCCCGGGGGTCCAGCGCCGATCCGAGATATTCGCGTGGACCTCCGCCGTGTTTTGATTATGTCAGTGTTCTTTCCCCATTTAATTACCAGTGGCGGGTTGTTTTTCATTTCCAAGGCACTTGATGGAGGGTCCGGACGGCGTCGGAGTGGTGTGGCTTATATTTTCTTTCCCGTCGTCCCAAAGACGACAACGGAACATGTATGCACCAGGGCCCCGTATACCGCATACACCAGGATCCGGTTTCCTGTGCAAATTTCAGTGCTGGGCCGGAAAAAGCGTCGGACGATTTTCGGCAGGTTCGTGTCGTGTCGACCTGCGGCGACTCCGCAAGCGGCGTTTAATGCTGGACACCGCCTGCGACCCTTCATCCGTCGGTGCTGAACGATCTGACGTTTCGGAAACGGATGGTCGGTCAAAGTTAAACGATACCAACGCCGGGCTCGACACGACACGAGCCCACGGTAGGAATACGGAAAGAGGTCCGATGCGGCCCGATGTTTGCATGGCGATGTTGTGCATATTGGTGCGGCCGATCCGCATCGATTTCGACTCCGTGCCGGTACCGATCCGACGGACGCACGTTCCGATCCGGTCCAATCGAGGGAGCAAACTCCACCCGACCCCCCAAAGTGGCGTTCACTGAGCAGTCCCTGGCGTTTGTTGAACTCCCTGCCCTGTCCGATGCCCTTCAGTAGCGCTTGCTGGAGGGCTTCGCCAGTAGGGGTGCGTATGATGAGGGTGCACATATGTGCATGCGTTGCTCTCGGGACTGCCCATTTTGCAGCCGCGCTGCGGCTGTGGTCGGGCGCCGTCGCGCGTGGAGAGGGCACTGCGCGCTGTGGTTGCTCCCTGTCCTCGTGCTGCGTGCTGCGTGCTGCGTGCGGGCTGCTGCGTGCTGATCTGTGAGCTGTGCAGCGAGGCGTGACGAGCACAGGGAGGAGGATGGCATGAGCAAGAACGTGCAGTCCGAACTGCAGCGCGTACCTCTGAACAGTTATGAGTAATTGTGCAGTTGTTGTCCCTCTAATGTCTGGGCTTCTGCTGAGATCCGACGTTGCGAACAAACATGCAAACTCGCGAACCATCATAGCTGGAGCCTCAGACCCATCATTTCTGCTGCATGTTTGGAGCCGGATCGATCAATGAGGATCCTGGGGCCCGAACATTCTCGGATCTCCCGAACATCCTCGGATGCCAATACAGATCCTCGTTGCCTTGCCGCTGGTCTTGGTCATCCTTTGCCTAATCCCCTAAGCCTCACGCCTTACTCCTGATGGGTCTCTTGTCTCTTAGGGGCCGCTGGTCTTGGTCATGCTCTATGCTGGCCGTCGCTGTTTCGCGAGGATTATACACGAATTCACCATGACCAAAATGGATGGCGACCAAATTCGACACTCACATTTAGGATAAGCTAAACGCGCGGCGATCGCGGCGGACACACATCGGATGTTTGTTGTCAAGGAACGGCATGCCCCTTCCCAGCCCTCCCCACCGTTCGGCGATGTCGACGTGGCTCATTATTAGCTATCTGGCTGCCTCTGGCAATTCCCCCACCGTGCAAGCTCAGCATTCTGGGTGGCTGCTAGTCGAGAGGGTAGGGGGGCCTGGTGGGAGCCTCTTGGTGCAGGAGGCTCGAATTCTGGGTTTGTGCTCCCACTCTTCGGCCCTTCTTGGGGCCGTATTGGGGCCCTCGTGGGCAGTCGTGGGCGCCTCTTAGGCCATCTTGGTGCCCCTTGGGGCCGTCTCGGAGCTCTCCTGGGGGAGGCATCTTAAGCATTCGGGGACTTCTCTTGGGACATCTTTTCTTGGAGCCGTCTTGGAGCTCTCTTGGGACCTCTTGGGCCGCCTTGGGGCAGACAAACATAGAAACCTAAGCAGAAACACAGATGTTTGCCTCTAGAGGCCCTCTTGGGAAGGCTCGTGGCGCTCTCTTGGGCCGCCTCGACGGCCTTGTGGGCCGTCTTGAAGCCATATTGGGCTGTCAGGAGGCCAACGTCTCCCGTCGTGAAGCGATATTGGAGCATCTCGGCCTCGGGAACACATCCGTCGTATTGTGATAGCTACTATGGCCTGGTAAAGGGGGGTCGGCGCGCGCGAGGAAGTGCGTGCAGATGTTTGGGGGGGGGCTGAGAAGATAGCAGCAATCCGACCAGACCGACCTTGACATGCTTCCACGCCTCAGTGTGCACAAGGCAGGGTGGCGGATGTAGCGACATAGTGTTGTCAATTGAGGTCCAACACGGGCACTGATGTTTTTGTTGGTCTGGTGTCGACTACCCAACCAGTTTATCCAAGAGGCCTACACGGTTGAGGCGTCGTAGGCTTCGTGGGCACTATCTGGGGACTCTTGTCGGCGTCTTGGGAGCTGTTCGGGGGCATGGTGGAGCCGCTTGGAAGCAGTTCGGAAGCGTCTTGGGGCCCGTTTTGGATGCATTTTTGAGCCTGTAAAGGGCCTTTTGGAGCTTCTTGGGGGCCCCTGTTGGCCAGCTCATGTATCATTTATTGATTTTTGCTGTCCTGCCGCCGCTGTTAACCCCGGGGCTGCCTGCCGCGGATCCCGCGCCGGCGCCCCAGGCGCAGACGAGGGGCGTGCGCGGACCCTGCGGTACTGGACGGAGTCGGCCAGCGTGAGCCGTGGGGGGGCTCCTCCCTCCTCCCTCCTCCCTCCTCCCTGATGGAATGTGATGGTCAACTCGCAAAGCGAGAGTATTGAAAGGAGGGATGAGGCCCAATCTCGTTGCCGCCTTCTCGCGGTGGTGTCCGTCGAAGAAGGGAGCAGCTGCACACGCGTGAAGTTCTGGAGCTCCCGGCGGCGCTTCACGGGCGCCGCCCCTGGCGCGCTCCGCGCGCCGGGGAGGGGGAAGTTCAAGCGCGGATCCAAGCAAGAAGCCCGCGCGGACCTGCAAAAGTTTGTGTCTACGCGATTGGTTGCTCCTGCAGTCGTCGGGGAGTGCGTGAGCGCTTGTGCTCAGAGCGCTGCCCTCAGGAGTGCGGGAGGTACCAATACCGCGAACCTCCTTCTCGCCTCGAGCTCGTGGTCAGAGCGCCCCCCTGGAGAGGTCCAGGAGTAGCGTTATTGGTAGCTGTTAGTCTCCCTAAGCTTTCCGACGACATGTTGTTTTCAATCCAGGTGCCGTTTTCTACATCGGGCGTTGCGCAGAAGGAAGGTTTCTGTGTTCTATTGCGGAGGTCTTACGTCCGGCGCCGCCGACCCTCAATGGCGACGACGACGACGATGACGACGACGAGCGCTTTCGGACGCCTCTTGGGGGTACTTTTGGGGCCTCTTGGGAGGCTCTTGATGGCCGCTTGGGAGCCTTGTGGGGGCCTCTTGAGACTTCTTAGAGGCCTCTAGGGGCCTGCTGGGAGCTTCTCAGGCAGAAAGCTCGAAATGACCGCTCGGGTTCCCTGTCTGGGCTCCCTCTTGGAGCCGTCTTGGGGGCCTCATCGGCTGTCTTGGAAGCCTCTTGGGCGGTCTTGGGTCCCTCTTGGGTCGTTCTGGGGCCCTCTTGCAGGCCTCTTGGGCCATCTTGGGGCGGTCTTGGGGGCCTCTTGGCCTGTCTTGGAGCATCGAAAGCTGACAACGCGAGAATGCCAAAATCTTTCAAAAACCGCAGGGAAATTTGATTTTGCCACTTGTGACCCACTTGGAAGTCCTCTTGGAGGCCTCTTGGGGCGTCGGGCTTTGCAGAGAAGGGAAGGTTTCTGTGTTCTATTGTTGGTGCCCTCCGCTGGCAGATCGAAAGTATCGGATAGGTGCATTCCGCAACTATTCGGGTTCGGGCCGGCGCTTTCTTGGCGGTAGCACGCAGATGCGGACGTGGCAATGGAATGTGTGATAGTGTGTATGCTTGTCGCGCAACGCACAGCAGATTCTTGCCGAGCCCCTCCAGGAACGAGGGTAACGGTCACGGAGTCTTATCTTTGCGAGGACGCCCGACGCTAGGTGAACAGTGTTTCCATTTACGTGTTCTTTCCTGTGGACTAAGGAACTGGTCTCGAAAGTCGGTCTGGCGACAAGTTGCCGACGTCGCCGCCAGGTCGCCGTCTTGTCGCCGCCCCTCGTCTGGGCCTGAATGTTGGTCTGCTGGCTCCGTTGCCGCCGTCGCCGCCCCGTCGCCGCCTCGTCACCGTTCATCGTTTGGGTCTGAATGTCAGTCTGGCGGCTCCGTTGCCGCCGTCGCCGCCCGTCACCGTCTCGCACAGATTTACCTTTCTCAACACAAATTAGGACCTATCCCCCTCCGAAAGTCTGGCCCTCCCGTGAGATAGTGTACTTTACTGCGATTTTGCCCCATCGTTCATTTCGACCATGAATTCCTATCATCCCAGGGGGACCCTCATCGACACCCCTCACCGTTGTCAAATCATACTATACGCGCACATTCGTTTATCAACATACTGACATGTTCAATCACCCTTTCTTCACAACAACATGTGACAAAGTCCACGCGCGCGGAGTGCACGCGCATGCCAACATCCCTGAACACTTGTTATTGTCGCAGCGATCTCCTCAATATTTATACACCTGGATAGAAACGATGGTTGCGCACCATGGTTTGTCAGAAACTATGCGCACGCGCGTTCCTGGAAGTTCTTGTGGGGGCCACGCTTTATCAACATGTTCAATTAATGCGACCACCCGGGCTTCCCGTATGCGCATGTCCCAATCATTCGAACGCCCTTGCGCGCTCGCTGGGGGGCACGATCCCCGTCAAGTGATCCCATGCTGGTCACTCGCTCCCGTCGACCACGCGCGCATGTTGAATTCCTTCCACCTGTTTCATCACAGACAGTTGGCACCATCATCGTTATCGGCGTATCTGGCATCGGTGCCGTTATTTGCCTTGCCGTCGTGATCTTTATCATCGCCACCACCATCGCTATTATCATCATCGTGTTTGCGTGTTGGGGGACTGGCAGTTGTTGCGTGTTGCTCCTAAGCTCTTTTTGGGCACCTTTTGGGTTGATTATCGAAGACGCCCACGGCGAATCACCGCCGCCCTCTGCCTTTTTGGTCGCCCCTAAATCGCGCAGCGATTTGGGGGGCAGTGAAATTCGAGGAGCACACGGACCCCATGCCTCTTGGCATCGTGGCCTCTGTTCCTCTTGGCAGCAAGCTCGCGGCAGCGAACGCTCCCCATTGGGAGTTGCGGAGCTTGGCTTCGCGGGATTTCCCTGTGGCCCCAGCTGTGGGGGGGCGTCGGCCGTTCGGTCGGTCGGTTTGTCTGTCCGTCCTGTCGTCTGTCTGTCCGTCCGTCCGTCTGTCCGTCCGTCCGTCCGTCTGTCTGTCCGTCTGTTTGTCTGTCTGTCCACTCGACGCTCGTGGCTGCGAGGTCCGCATGGCGGCGCTCCTCGGAGGCGATCGCCAGAGAAGCGCTTGGGGTTCGGAGAGAGGGGCGACCTAGGGCAGGTGTGCTCGGTCCAGTGGTCGTCCTGAGGATTCTTGTTGGCGGCCCGCTGGGGGCCCACGAGCGGCCCGCTGGGAGCTTGTTGCGTTTGCGTGCGTGTCTGGGCGGCCCGCGAGGAGCTCAGTACGCATTCCGGGGCGGCCCGCTGGGTGCCGCAGCCCGCTGGGAGCTGCGTTTGCGTGCGTGCCAGGGCGACCCGCGCGCGTCCAATATGCATTCTGGGCGGCCGGCTGGGAGCCCCACGAGCGGCCTGCATGCTCGTTGCGTTCGCGTGCGTTTCAGGGCAGTTCGCGAGGAGCCCAGATGTGCATTCGGGGCAGGCCGCTGGGAGCCCACTTGCGGTTCCTTAGGGGCTCGTTCTGCAGTTACGTGCCTTGCAGGGCGGCCCGCGACAAGGTCAAATGCGCATCTGGGAGCCTACGAGGGGCTCGCTGGTTGTTCATTTGCGCGCTACAGCGCAGCCCGCAAGGTGCCCGTGCTCATTCGGGGCGCCCCGCTGGGAGCCCACGATCGGCCCAGCTCGTTGTTTTTGCGTGCTCTACAGGACGGCTCTTTTGCAATCCGGCCGCGGGTCGCGCCGCGTTGCTTTCGCGTAGGGGCGCAGGAGCGCTTGAAAAGGCCGTCTGAACAGCTTGGCGAGCTGGGCGCGGAACGCGGCGCAGGTTTGCGCGCGGAAAGCCGCCTGCGCTTCCAGTCTCGCTGGTTGTGCGCGGTTAGCGCGCAGGATTGCGAGCCGGAAGGCCGCCCGCGTTCCAGTTTGGCGGGCTGGGCGCAGAAAGCGTCTTGTGCAGGTTTGCAGGCGGAAAGACGCCTGCACCTCCAGTCTCGCAGTTCGTTGTCAGCTTCAGCGCGGAAGGCGCAGTGTGCACGTTGCGCGCCAGAAGGCCGCCCGCCGGCCAGGGGTAAGGAGGTTGGGGGGCGCTCGCGAAGCGCTCGTGGGCGCTCCCTCCGCAATCTGGCGCATTCCGCGCCAAATGGGCAAGCGGGTGTGTCTTCGCCGCTTCGGCTTGCAATTTCGCGCCCAGATTGCATGCGTTCTGCCACTACTATGCGCTTCGCACCCAGATTGCGAATCTAGGGCTGCCGTTGCGGCGAAAAACGCACCGCTGAGCTGGGCGCAATTAGCCGATTCCAGCGCGAGTTGCGCGCACTCCAGCACGCACGCGAAATTTGGCGCATGTGCGCTCAGATTGCGCCATCCCAGGCGCAAGCGCGCAGACCGGCGCATTCCGCGCTGATATTCCAAACCCGGGTTGGGCGCGCCGCCCCGGGGTGCACGCGCAGGCTGGCACATTCCGCGCTGAAAACTACAAATACGGGCGTGTCTCGCCTGTCCTGGCGCCAGCATGTAGTTTGGCGAATGCTGCGCTTGTCTTTTTCCCTTCCTTCCGGCGAAGGGCCCGTCGCGGCGCCAGCAATAATAGTTGAGGCACTGCGCGGGGCGGAATCGCTGAGCGATTCCGAGCTCCAAGCGCATCGTGCTGAGAGGATTCGTTATTGGACCGAACGCAAACGCGTTCTGGATTCCTCTTGGAGAGAGGATTTTTGCACTCTGCCTCCTCACTGTCAGCGCGTGCTTGGGCCAAGTAAGAATCTGCGTCTCTTGGCAGAAATGGTGCACTCTGTGGGCTGGGGCGACAGTCGGCTCGTTCACGACTTAGCTTTCGGCCTTTCGCTGCTGGGGGCCCTGCCCAGGTGGCATTTTGCCGGCCGTTCCCTTTATTTACTGCCACATCTCACAGTGAAGAATCGTTGCTGGCGCACTGTTCGCAATATAACGCGGCAGCGCTGGAAAGGGCGAGCCGCCCAGCGCATGTCCAGCAAGAAGTGTGCGAGGCCTTCGGAACGAAGTGTCTCCAGGAAGTCGCAAAGAGCAAGGCGTGGTGGACTAGGCTACAGCCGGATGAGTCAATCATCTCGGCGCGCTTTCCTGCCCTGGAGGGGTGGACAGATGGCGGCTCGGGAGTTTTAGTTCCAAAAGTGCGGTTGATCGATGATTTCTCGGCTTCACGGGTGAATTCAGCGACGTCCATGCAGGTGGGGACTCTCGTGGGGCTGCAACGTTATGTGCGCCTATGTCCCCGAGCGACAGCAGTATCGGCCATGATCCGCTGCAGCCAGTTACGTTGTTGCGCGCGCAAACATGCAGCGCCGTGGCTGCGTTGGCTCAGGCAAATCACACACTCAAGTGCTACTGTGCAGCAGCTGCGTTGCAGATCACCTGCAGGCTCCTGTCCTGTACTGCTGCGTCATGGCTTCGTTCTCTGCAGATGAGATCAGCTCCGACCTCGCCCAGATGGAGGATTACGCGGACGACTTCATCCGCGACTCCCTCAAGTCCGGCGCGGTGCTCCACGATAAGCCGTTCGCCTCTTCCGGCCCGGAGGGTTGGAGCGAATTTGTTTTGACGCCTGCTATGCTGTCGCTGACTCTGCGTGCGCAGGGTAGGCTTCAGTCCAAGATGAAGATGGCTTCGGATTCGGATGCTGCAGGGGCCTCGGCGTTCGCCAATGCTATGCAGCAGTTCGTCCAAGCGACGTCCCACGCAGCCGCGGCGAGCTCTGCAAAGAAGGGTTTGTCTTCGATTTGGCCAAGCGGATCCAAGAAATTGGTCTTGCGCACTCCCCGTCGGATGGGCTCCCTTCAGAAGAAACCTTGGCCAAATTCGAGCACGCTGGCAAAGTGGCCGCCGAGAAGCAGCGTAAGTGGATTGGCAGCGCGGACGGTGAGTGTCTGCAGACGCACCACCGACCAGAATGGTCGCGCACGCCTGTCGTGGCCGCGCCACCTAGCGGTTCATCTATCGAGGAGAAGCTCAAGCATGTGCTCGACGACAAGAAAGCCAGAGCCGACGAGTTGAAGCTCGATTATCAGAGCTACGCTACGTTCATGGGTCACGTCTTCCAGTGGGGGATGAAGTGCGTGCTGATGAAAGCGTGCTCGCCCACAGAGCTCTTGGCTTACCTGTTCAATTTGACCCGCATAGCTGAGGAACACGGCGGGGTCCGGACGGCTTATCAGTACGACATCTTGCAGCGCAATGCGATGGCGCGCTCGCTCGAGCGGGGCGAGGACCGCCTTTCGCGCTACTTCAACGTGCTCGACGAGGACATGGCCCGGAAGGCCAAAGATAAAGCATCTCAGAAGATGAAGGAGACCACCGGCCGGACGACCACTGGCCAGGCGCAGCATGGAGGAGGCTCCCGGACCCACGGTGGCAGCAGCTCTGGTTACGGAGGCGGCGAAACTTCCAGCTCCAGCGGGGTGGCGTCGAAGGGCCAGGGCAAGGCGCACAAAGGGGCTGGGCCCGCGCCGAGCACCCCCAAGAGGAAGTGGGCCAGGTCGCCAAAGCGCTCTGGCAACGGCGGCAACTCCAACGGCAAGGGAGGCAAGGGCGGCCATGGCAACAACCAGGGCAACAAGTCCTGGCAGGACAAGCTGTGGAACAAGTGAGGGGAAGAAGGATTTCCCGGGGCAGACGCGGAGGAACATCTGAGCGAGGTTTCCGACGAGAGCTCTTCTCAGGGTACAGAGGAAACAATCGAGTTTCCAGGTAGTGGTGGAAAGGGTTTTCTTGTCGAGATCCGTTCGGCCGCGCATGCTTTGCTACAGGATCGGGGCGCACGGTCTGCTATGACACCTGCAGCGCATTTTAAATGGGCGCAGTCTTTGCCGCACGTCGCGCGTGAGGGCTGCTTGCCTCCTTTGCTGCAGGATGCAATTCAAAAATCCTCGGCTCTCAGCCCTGGGGCTTTGCATAGATGGCGCGCTGACGCTTTAGAGTACTGGCAGGGGCGGAAACGTGACCCGGCTGCCCCCTGGGGGCAAATTCTGCAGGGATTACCGCTGCACGTGCAGCAGTTGGTAGGGCCGGGGAAGAATCCACTGCTTCTCGCGGAGATGCTCGAGAGCATCGCGTGGCCAGATACAGAGCTTGTACATAACTTAGCTTTCGGATTTCCGATCGTAGGTAGGTCGAATCCTTGCGGTATAATGCCTCCGAAGCAGCACGTGTCCGAACCAGTGGCCGTAAGTGCGCTGGAATCTTCGGTGGGCGCTATCAACGCCGACACTTCGTTCAAGGCGTGGGCCCGCACGTCGCTGTGCCCCGCAGTAGAGGAGGCGTTTGAGAACAAATGTTTAGAGGAGGTTGCGCAGAGGAAAGCTTTTTGGGCAAGGCTTTCCGCCGTAGATGCTATGCTTGCAGTCCGCTTCCCTGTCGACGAAGGTTGGCGGGAACGTGCCGGGCAGTGGAGTAGGAAAGTACGTCTGATCGACGATTTCAGTGGCAATGGTCTCAACTCTGCCACTTGCATTCCAGAGGAAATGCGTCACGACACGCTCGATACACTTGTTGGCGTGGCCCGGGCTTGTGTTGACACTGCAGGGGGGGGGGGGGGGGGGGGGGGGGTCGCCTCTGCTCTTCCGCAAGGATGATTTTAAGAGTGCGTTCAAGACGCTTCCTGTGCAGGAGAACCATCTCCGGTTTTCAGTTGCCACGTGGAATAGTGCTGCGCAGCAGGACAAGGGATTCCAGTTGCTCTCTTGTCCTTGCGCGGCGGCTTCTGTCTTTGCGTGGCATCGATTCGGTAGCGCGGTGCAAGCAATTTTGGCGTATATTTCTGCTTGCTTATCCGCGTTTCGTCGACGATTTGTTCGGCGCAGACGCGTGCGCGAGCGCCGCGGATCCCGGATCTTTGGTGGGTCCGCGAGGGTCGGCGGGGCTTGGCGCGCACAGTGATCGTGGACTTGCTTGGCTGGCTGCTAGATGAATCCAAAGCAGTTGCTGAGGCGACACAAATGACCGTGTTAGGCGTAGAGGCGAAGGCCTGCCTGGAGGGCATTTGGTTTTGGATTGGGTGCGAGAAGAAAAATAAGTGGCTCCAGCAAATTCGTGATGCTTTGCGTAGTGACGCGTTGGCGCCAGCAGAGGCTGCTAAACTTGCTGGTCGCCTTAGCTGGGGGGCCACAGCTGTTTTTGGCCGCGGAGCGAGAGTTTTTCTGGCACCGCTCTTCTGGCAGAGCAGCCAACGGAAACGTGCGCTGGCAGCTCGCGTGCGCAATGCTCTGCAGTGGTGGGAGCGGTTTTTAAGCTCTGACCCTTCCGTTTTCGTGCGGTTCAGCCAACCTCCGCTCCAGAGGTGCATCCTGTACACTGACGCCACTGGCGGAGGGAACTTGGCTGTAGTGCTTCAAACTCCGTCAAAGCGTGTCTGGGCAGCAGCGAAGATTCCATCTAGAGCTTGGCCTTGGTCTCGGCCCAGGCGCACGCAGGTGGCCCTCTGGGAATTAGTGGCAGCATTGTGCGGCGTGCGGCTTTTCTTGGAGCAAGGAGTCGAGTCACCAGAGCTCATTGTGTTTATCGACAACACATTGAGCGCACTTTTGCGTGGCAGTTCCCGGCAGCCCGATCTCAACGCAGTTTTGGGCACCATTTGGTTCGATCTAGCTGCAGCAAGTGTGCTTATGCACGCTCGTTATGTCCCTTCCGCGTTGAATCTGGCGGATGGGCCTACTCGCGTAAGTGAAACAGAGCAGAGCCGCGCTGACCTGGACAGCTTGTCTTTCCGGGGGACGGCGTGGCGTTGGCCAGCGCTCCCCCGGGACAGCTAAGGCGGAAATGGCTGGGTGCCCGCGGAAGGAAAATGTGCGCGGCGCAGGCGCGCGCAGTTTCCCACGCGCGGTTTCTGCCTGGCACTTCTGCTTTGTCTTCCGTTGCCTTCGGCTCAGACAATTGCGGGTTGCAGGCCAGCGCATGGCGCTGAGTTTTGTCAACGCAGAACGGGCGCGATGGCAGCGCTTGCGAGAGGGGCTTCCTGAGGCCGGCGAGCCAGAACTGCCGCCTATCGCTTCCCTTCCACGTCCTGGCCATCCTGCGGATCGCTGGCGCGGCGAATTGGCGAGCGTGCTTCAGAGGGCCGGTGGCGCCGCCAAGCAGGACCTCCATGACGCGGACGGCATCGCAGCAAGTCTGCAGCGCGACGGCGTGACTTCCTTCAGTGATTTTGGCTCGTTGGACGCTTTCGAGGCGCAAGAGGTTTGGCCTGCTCTGGGCCAGCTGGACGTTGCCATCGCCAAGGTTTTTCTGTTGTTCTGTGGTCGAGCCCATAGGGGGATGCAGCAGCCAGCGGTGCAAGAATCGCAGACGGACCGCCAGGCTCACAGCCGTGGGCGTTCATTGGCGGGTCCAGCTGCACCAGCCTTGGCGCCAGCCGAAGAAATGGCGCAAGCGCTCGCAGCAGTGCGACTGATAGTGGCTGCTAGGCAATCGGGCTGTGCCCCCCCGCCACTGGTACTGGCACACGCCATGCGCGTGCTCCACAAAGTGCCAGAGCCGCCCATGGACATGCCTGGCCAGGCGCCAACAGCAGAAGCTCGCGAAGCTCAACGAAGCCCCGTTCCCGCCGCCGTCTTCGCGGAGCGGGCATGCTGGATTGAGTTTCAAGGCTGGCGAAAAAGTGCCTTGGGTTATGCGTCTGCTGTGGTCTTGTGGGGACAGGCAGCGGCTACGGTGCACGTAGAGCCATGGCCGCCTCAGGAGTGCATATTGGATTGCTTCGTGTCTCTCTTTCGGAGTGGCGCTTCGTTCGCGCAGTATGTGGCTCGCCTTCGAACAGCGTTGGCTTGGTTGAAAAGGTCACCAGGGCCTTTGGCGGACACTTCCCGCTTGATTCGGGGCGCTGAGAAGGCCGCGGATCCGGCGACTCGCCGTGTGAAGTTGAGGGCTTCGCCAGGAGACACGCGCGCACTGGCAAAGTGGGCTTCCGAGACGGCATCCAGGCCGGACGTGGCTCGGTCGTGGGTTGTGTCGCGCCACTTCACCTTGCGCTATAGTGGAACCTTGGTTATTGGTACGAGCCTGGCCCCAATAAGAATCAAGGGGGCCAAGGGCAAGAAGCAGGTGATCGTAACATTTCTGCGGCGGAAATGTTACAAGGAGCCAGTTGAAGTGGTCAGGGGCTGCATATGTGGAACGCAGGGGCCATCTTTGCGCGGCGTGTGCGCCTAAGTGCCTGTTGTCGGGGCCAAAGAGCCACCGTTTCAGCACATATCTTATTCCGAATCGCTGGCTTTCTTAAAACTCGCAGCGTCTGCGCGCAATCTGAGGTCCCCGCAGGCGTGGGGCACGCATGCTTTCAGGCGTGGTTGGGCTTCGGATGCTCTCAAAGCAGGAGGTCCGACTGCCCTCTTCTACAGTGGAGGGTGGCGTGGGCTGACTGCCTTTGCGTGCGCCAGTGCCTGGGCACGTGGGGCCCTGCAGGCAGCTGAATTTTTGGTCGAGCATTCGAGCTCGTCAGACGGCGAGTGAACTTTCTTGGTGCATTGGGCCTGGCTGTGGTTCCAAAAAGCTTCTCTCTTGCTTTCACGGGCAACGCGTAGTCAGCTTCCGCCTGGGAGTTCTGGGCGCAGCGGGGATTTGGACTCGTCCCAGAGTCTCCCAGTCAGGCAGCGGGGTCTGTAGCGTCCCACTGCTCCCGCGCAGGTCGTCGATAGTGTTTTCTCCGCGCGAAAACGCGTAGCGTTTTCAGCGCGAGAAAACAACGAGCGGCCGGAGTTGTCTATGTACTCCTCCGCTTATTTGCTCACTCGCCTTATCCCGAAGTGGGTGCTCCTGGTGGAGCTGGCGGTGCCTGGCGGCGCTTTCCGTCGGCGGTGTTGCTTCTCGCGCGACTGGGGCTTCGGTGAGGTCGCGGTTGTCCGTCGGTCTCTCTGGGCTGTTGGTCTGTCTGTCTGTCTGTCTGTCTGTCTGTCTGTCTGTCTGTCTGTCTGTCTGTCTGTCCGTCCGTCCGTCTGTCTGTCTTTCTGTCGTCGGCGTCGTCGTCGTATTTGCCCTGTGGGGCGGTGGCGCCGCAGTTCCCTTTCGGGGGTTCGGTGGCCGTGTGCTCGCGGCCATGGTGCCCGCGGCGTTGGTCCTTGGCGGCGCGCTCCCTCGATGGGCCGCTGGGGGCGGTCTTCTTGGTGCCGGCTGCTCGGTGTTCGGTTTTCCCGCCCGCCCGCCCTGGTGGTGGGGGTTCGGTTTTCGGCGATCGCCTGACTGGGGATTTGGACTCGTCCCAGAGTCTCCCAGTCAGGCAGCGGGGTCTGTAGCGTCCCACTGCCCCCGCGCAGGTCGTCGATCGCGTTTTCGCGCATAGGGCCAAACAGTGTGCAGGCGGCCTTCCGGCGCGCAAACCTGCGACCACGCGCGTTCCTCGCAGGGGGCCAAACACTGGGCGAGCGAGGCCGCCAGAACACCCTGTGGGCGCCCCGAAGAGGCCGCGCGCGCCCGGGACACACTGCACAGCCGTTGGCCTGCAGCGTGGCCACGCGGCTCCCACGGGGGCACCGCCGACATTTGCTACCCCTCCTCGGCCAGCGAGGCAGGGTAGCAAATATCGGCGAGGCCAGCGACGCTCGCGGGAGACGCACGAGTGCCCTTCCGGGCCTGGCACGCCTCGGGCGCATCACACTTTTGCCCTTCCGGGCAGAACCAGACAGACAGACAGACAGACCGACGGACGGAGACGGACCACAGACAGACCGACAGACAGACGGACTACCGCCCCCGAGAAGGGCAAGGCGCGCGGAAAGAGAAACGTCCCTTTACGACCTCAACACACGAATCCACTGCTCCCACCAGGGAGCGCCCACCTTTGGTGAGGGTGAGGACATGGGGCGCTGAGGCAAAGAGGCCAGGAGGCGTAGAGCACAAACGCTCCTCAAATTTCACTGCCCCCAATCTGCAAATCGCATTCATGTCAGCCCCACCGGTCATGCCAAGTATGCTTTGATTCTTGTCCAGCCCAGACGCTACCGATCCCCCTTTCTCATCTTCGTAAATTCGTATTATGCGCGCGCTCGTTTACTAGCAGTTGTACATTCTCAGTCACTGTTTTCTTTTGCAACATCTGATCAAGTCCACGCGCGCGCGCCGTCGCGCGCGCATGCATTTTTTGAGACACCGAGGGTTCAGCCGGAATGCAACATAGTGCTCTGGACCCTTTTACAACAACCACCCAATTTGTTTTGCGTTTGTTCTAAGAAGGTTTGCGCGGGCGTTTTTGCGAGCCCGCGCGGCAACTTCACGGTTCCAGCATGTCCGCAAACTGTGACTAGTGGATCTCACGCTCGCGCGCGCGCGAGTTGGAATTATTCACGAGAGTGCTGGGGGGTCACGGCCATGGTCGGTGATGCAATGCGGGTCGTTCGCGCCTGTCGGCCGCGCGCGCGTGCCAACATCTCCCGAACTTTTCATTGCGGACGCGTGGGCACCATTATCGTCATCGGCGTGGACCGCGTCGGCCCCGTCATCGAGTTTGTCATTGGTGGCGGCGCCTTGATTCCGCATCCGCCCGACTTACCGACTCGCACCGAAGTGCCCGCGCGCGTCACTGCGGCTTGCGAGATGCGTTGGGGGGCCCCATAGCGGTCAGCACCGTCGCGGCCGCGTCGGTCGCGCCAAAGAACGCGGCCACTGTGCGCCCGAGCTTGCGCGCGCTAGTGCTGCCGCAGCGATGCGCCAGCCAGCGCCAATCAGTCATCGAAATCTCCGCCGCATAGCTTTTGCAAACCAAATTGCGGGTGGACGGATGAGACGCTTGCGCGAACAATTGGGCTGACAAATTCAAGTTCGGCATGGCGATTGGCACCGCATGGGTTGCACCACGTGTGTTGTTCGACATCACTTGCACAACGTGCATTGCAACACGCACGTTGCACAATATAGCTCTCACGCAATGAGCCCCCATTTCGTAACCAACAAATCTGGATACAGCACCCTCCCTGTTATATTTGTTTTTTTGGTAGAGTCCAATGTACATGCGAACTTGCCCCATGTTTCATCCTCCAGAGGCGTCAACACCGGCCCATGATTGTAGGATTGCCGTTGCGGCCCGCCCCCGTTCACTGTTTCAATTGATACAGCGCGCGCACTCGCTTACACAAACCAATAGCCGATGCCCCCTTGCCAGCAACGGGACAACATCGGCATGTGCGCGGCGTCGTGCGGGCATGCCAACATTGTTCAAACAACGGTTCGGTTTCGTATGGATTTCAAGATCGAGGTTTCCCGGGCACACCTCGGAAAACAACGGTGTCGCAACACGACGTTTCAATGCGAGCTCGGGGGGGGGGAACACCATCGACGTTTCAACATGTTGGTCACATGAAACCACGCGGGCCGCCCGCTCGCACATGTTCAAACGCCCGTGACCGTTTGGGGGGGGCACGACATGTCGGGCGCGTCAGCGCCGCTCGCATGTCGACATTTTTCCGGAACCTTCATCACCGACGCGTGGACATCATCATCGCCATCGGCGTAAACAGCATCGGCGCCGTCATTGGCATTGCCGTCGTCTTCGTCAGTATCGCCACCCTCATCCCTATTATCATCACCGTGTCCGTTTTTGTCAACTGCCAGAGTCACCGGGTCGTACTGACGTGCCCGCGCGTCAGTGCTGCTTGCGGGTCGCGTGTTGGGCGGTCCCCAGCAGTCAGCGCCATCGCGGCCGCGTCGGTCGCGCCAATATAGCTGGCCGCTATGCGCTCGGGCTTGCGCGTGCTACCGCGGCCTCATCGACGTGCCAACCCGCGCCAAGCAGTCATCGCAATCGCCGCCGCATTGGTTTTTCAAGGTAATTTGCGGGTGGACGGGAAGGAGGAAGAGGAGGAAAAGGATCAGGGAATGGAAGGAGGGGGAGGAGGAGGATGAGGAGGAGGGGGAGGGGGAGGAGGAGGAGGAAGATGAGAAGGAGAGGGAGGAGGCAGGGGAGGACGAGAGGTTGAGACGAGGAGGCGGCGGAGGAGAAACATGGAGGAGGTGGAGGAGGCGAAGTATGTTGTTTCTCGGTTCTCCCCCCCCCGGGCGCGCCAGGTGAGCCTGCCGACCATCCAGCGCCGCGGGCCTGCCGAGGAGTACGAGGACCTCTCCGCCCCCGCCGTGGCAGAGAGAGGCGACCCAGGAGAAGTGCTTGCAAGGGAGGTCCGAGGCATGGAAAAACTGGCACGCCACACGACCGTAAACTTTCTGATGTCCGCGATCTTTTTCAACAAGGGGCTCGTTCGCCGAGGAAACCACAAGCACATCAGCATGCAATGCTTGAGGTCCGCGCGGGTGTCTTGGATCGGCGCTGGGCCCCCCTGGCGGCGCCTCCGGCGCCGCCCCTGTGGCGCTCCGCGCGCCGTGGAGGGGCTCCCAGCGCCGACCCAAGAACTCCCAGTCGCTGTCCCAATGGTCATGTTATGTTTGTGTAGTTTTTTTGCTCGTCGAATTCGGCCGAAACCAAAGGTCCGACAGCATGTTGTGTTACAGGTCCGTAGTTTTTTTCTCCGCGAATTCGGCGCCCTGGGGCACGGTGCCGGGCCCCAGATCCGGTGCGAGGAATTGGCCACCAAGGGAAGGGGTCTGGACCTCTGAGGAGCCGCGCTGTGAAACAATCATGCCGGCGGGTGTGAGGGTCGGTCGATGGGGTAATGTATCAGATCGGCACGATCGAAATGGATACGGACATAATGGGTCCGAAGACCGACAACAGTTGTTGTCCATGTTGAACAGGGTTCGTTGTCGGCGTTGCCGCGAGCGTTGTCCATTTGAGACAGGAGGACGCCTGCCCAACAGCGGCTGCTGTCGGTTTTGGACAACAGTTGCTGTTGTGCACCGTATCTATTTTTGTTCGTACCTATTCCTCGGGCGGCCACAACAGCGCACCGGGAAGCACCGTCAACCTCAGCTGGTCGACGGGAGGCGTTGCGTGGAGTGCGCGGTCTGGCTGCCTTGGCCTCTGCCGCTCGACGAGCTTGCCGTCAAGGTACCCCCGTTGGGGTGCTTCATAGTTTTTGGACGTTTTGCGTAATTCCGCCAGCCCATTCAGAAACGATGCCCAGACGGGTTTGCCCTGATCAGGGGTGAAGAGGAGCATGCAGTGGAAGAAAGGGATCGGTGAAACGTCGTACCTCAAGAGGGGGAGGATGGAGGAGGAAGCGGAGGAGCAGGAGTAGGAGGAGAGGGAGGGGGAGGAATAATGAGGAAGGAAGAGGAAGTGGTGGATGAGGGAGAGGAAGAGGAGGAGGAGGAAAGGGAGGAGGAGAAGGAGGAAGAGGAGAAGGAGGAAGAGGAGCAGGAGGAGGGCGAGCAGAAACCCAAGAGCCTCTTGGATGACTGTCGGAGTCTCTTCGGATTTCTTCCGAGCTTCTTAGGGTGCTCTTGGGGTGTTTGGGGGGTCTCTTGGCAGTCCGGGGGGCGTCTTGGGGCGTCTTGGACGGCTACCGGGAGCCTCTTGGGGCGTGCTGGGGGTCTCGTGTGAGCCTCTTGGGGGCCTCGTGGGAGCCTCGTGGGAGCCACTTGGGGCCTCCTGGGCACCTCTCGGGGCCGTCTTGGGGCACCCTCGGGAGCATGGCCGTCCAAGACGGCCCCAAGAGAGGCGCAGCAAGCAAGCAAGCAAGAAGCCACGTGCACAGACTGCGCATAGGCAAGAGACTGCTACACGGACGTCAAAACGTCCAGGCGCGGCCGCGTCTCAGAGAGTGTTGACGTCGTAGGCGTTCATCATTGAGCGTCGTTGGCGTTGAGGCTCAGGGGGAGAATTCGAATCCAGATTTCAAGGCCCCCGCCCCAAGCGAGTCCCGAAGACCGCCAGCGGGCCTCCGAGGACCCCAAGAGGGCCCGTGAGGCCCTCCGTAGCCATTTTGGCTCAAGGCCTCTGCAGGTGCGCGCCCCGTCCCCCTTCGCGCGGCAGAACGCCCGATGGCGCTCCCCGCCCGGGTCTCCGCGCCCCTGGCGCTCGTCCTGGCGGCGGCCGGGGCGGCGCCCCCCGAGGGCTGCGCCGCGGCGGCCGAGGAAAGCGACGGGGTGGGGCTGCTGCAGGCGGCGGGCCGCAGCGCGCAGGTGCGGAGCCGCTCCGACACGCCAAGCGGGGGGTGGGTTCCCCGAACTGCGAGGTGCGGCATGACGTGAAGTGCGGGACGGGCTGCTGCTCGGTGACCAGCACGTGCACCTCGGACCAGAAGTGCGAGCCGCTGTTCGGCGACATCGTGGAGCCCACCCCAGGCAAGATCGGGCGCCCGATCGCCTTCGCAGACTTCGGCGACGACGGCTGCTGTCCTGTAACCACGTTCGTGGCCCGCCAGAAACGTGCGTGGAGCCGACGTGCGAGAACATCCTGCAATACAACTGCAACATCACCTCGGGCGGTTCGCCGACCTGCACGGAAGGCGGTGAGTTGCCCGCGGGCACGTCGATTGGCATAACGATCAGTGGCAACGCAGTGACGCCGACTGTCTCGCAGACTTGCACGCTCGACGGGAAGAGCTGCTACAAGTACTCGGTGAACGGTGTAGGTATCCAGACGACGAGCACCAGCAGAGAGCCACGAGTTCGCTGCGAGGAGCCACTGCGCACGCCACCAGCGCCAAGCCAACCAACCGACCAACCGAGGGAGGAAGCGGAAGAGGAGCCACCTGCCGCGAAGCATCCCTGGGCGAGTGAGACCAACACACGTCGCGGCCAAGCGCATAGCTAACCAAGGCATAGAAGCCAATATGCATAAAGGCAGAGAGGCGCACTCATGTGCGCCCTGAAGATTTTCCAGCCCCCCAAATCGCTACACGATTTGGGGGCTATGAAAAAAAAGAGGGCCCGTGAGGCCCCCAGAGAGGCCCCGAAAGTCACCGCCCACCAAACCACCCCAACACAACCCGAAGGCCCAGAGTTGTCCTCCATTTCCAGTGTGGGGGGGGCTTTCGGGTTGGTTTGGGGTGGTCTGGTAATAGGTAGTCAGAGAGGCGCCCCGAGAGGCTTCAAGACTGTGTCCGAGACGCTTCCCAGAGGCTTCCCCAGAGACCCTAACAGGCACGCAAGAGGCGCCGCGCCAACAATTCAGGCGCAGCGGCAGGATGGGCAGAAGACCACCAGCATGGGCGCACGTGGACGAGGGGAACGGCGACCCCTCCTCTCTGAACTCACATTTTGCGGGCGGCCTCGAGCACGAGAGGACCCAGGAGACCGCCCGCAGGACCCCAAGAACCCCCCAAGAGGACTCTAAAGGCCTCCGAGAAGAAACCCAAGAGAGGCCCCGCCAGGCCCCTAAACGGCTTCCCGAAAGACCCCAACAGGCATCCAAGAGGTCTCCGACGAACATCCCAGGCACGGTGGCAGAATGGGCCGACGGCCACCAGGAGGTGCACGCGTGGACGAGGGCACCGTGCCCTCCCTTCTCTCTCCTCCTTATTGCCGTTCGTTTTCAGAAGCTCCGCTTTTCCTGTCCCTGTTCCTCCTTGCCGTTATGCCATCGTCTTCGTGGCCGTCGTGCTCCTAGAGTTTCCCCCCCTTTCTCGATCTCCAAATCGCCCCTCTCGTCCTCTTCGTCGTCCTCCTGAAAACGTCCGCACTCGGGAAATGGCTATCTGCTACGTGTTCCCGCAGCGTTTTCGGAGTGACGTCCTATCCCAAACCTTCACCCAACCCTCGACGTTTCACTGCCGGCTGGGATTTCGGAACGCCTGAGCGCGCGTGCGCGACGCGCGCCCAGTTGTTCTAATCATAGAACATTACAGAAGCGAGTGCAACATATTGGCCACCAACTAGTACGACATACTGGAATCGCATACGAACGGGTAAATCCATACATATTGCATACGGATGTTTGATTCGATGGTCGTATGTGTAAGACTATATGGTGACCGGGTGTAGCACACCACACTCTTTCACAACGCATCGTACCATAACAGCCCATAGCAGGACGTAAGTTGAGATGACCAGAGTGAGTAGCACATAACATCAGGTGCTGTAATCTAGTGGTGCATGATGGAGCATATTGTTTTCGGCGATCTTCTCCACCGCCATGATTTATGCCGTTGGTTTCCTCAGCAGTATTATTGCTGCACGCATCGTTCGAGTAGGCGCGGGCAAAGTGTTTGGACATCTGCCCGAGGTTTCGGTGGCGATCGGTCGAAGCACATAGGATGAGGTCACGATGGCTAGTATCTGTCACATCCCTTGGCGTTTGCTATTTGACGACTCGCTCAGAAGAGTTGTTTCTTCGCGCGTGCTCGTCGGCCCGCGGAGGCCAGACCTACACATTGGAAGTCGGAGTTTGACAGGGCGGCCGATCCGCAATTGGGCGCAGGCGGCCTGCATCGTTGCCGCACTGTCGGTCTGATCGTTTTTCCCGAACAGTGTTTCGCTAAGGGGCTTCAATGGAGGACACAAAAGGACCACAAAGGAATCCAACAAGGGGGACGGGGAACCCGAGACCGCCCGGTGAGCCCACCCACTCCGGTGGCGGCCGCTTCGCAGGAGTCTTTCTCCACATGTTGTTTGGATATAGTGTTCTCTCCTCAGTCCAAGCTCCATTCTTGGTCCAGACGGTCACGATCCGTTTTAAAAACATCCATCCAAGCGAAGGACTTCACTTGCAACGTCACGGCCCTGTCGACCGTCATCGACAGCCACAGGCTGCAGCGGGTGGACATCTTAAAGGTGACCTCGGCATCCTCCTGCTCTTCCGTTGCCGAAGTTTGCCGTAGGTGGCATGCGTACACGCGGGCCGGTGGAAGTTTAGCAGAAGTCGTAGTAGTAGTAGTAGTAGTAGTAGTAGTAGTAGTAGTAGTAGTAGTAGTAGTAGTAGTAGTAGTAGTAGTAGTAGTAGTAGTAGTGGTAGTAGTAGTGGTAGTGGTAGTGGTAATAGTAGTAGTAGTAGTAGTTAGTAGTAGTAGTAGTAGTAGTAGTAGTAGTAGTAGTAGTAGTAGTAGTAGTAGTACAGTAGTAGTAGTAGTAGTAGTAGTAGTAGTAGTAGTAGTAGTAGTAGTGTAGTAGTAGGTAGTAGGTAGTAGGCGGTAGCACTAGTAGTAGTAGTAGTAGTAGTAGTAGTAGTAGTAGTAGTAGTAGTAGTAGTAGTAGTAGTAGTAGTAGCAGTAGCAGTAGTAGTAGTAGTAGTAGTAGTAGTAGTAGTAGCAGTAGCAGTAGCAGTAGCAGTAGCAGTAGCAGTAGCAGTAGCAGCAGTAGTAGCAGTAGTAGTAGTCGTAGTGGTAGTAGTAGAAGTAGTCGTAGTCGCAGTAGTAGTAGCAGCAGTAGTAGTAGTGGCTAAGTAGTAGTAGCCGTAGTAGTAATGGAAGAGCAGTAGTCGTAGCAGCAGCAGGAGTAGAAGTAGTAATAGTAGAAGTAGCAATATTCGCCGTAGTAGCAGTGGTAGAGTTAGCAGCCGTAGTAATGGTAGTCGTAATTGTCGTAAAAGTCTTTTTTGTAGTAATGGTATTGCAAGCAGTATTGGTAGTAGTAGTAGTAGTAGTAGTAGTAGTAGTAGTAGTCGTAGCAATGGTCGTATAATTAGTGGTAGTAGTAGCAGCAGCAGCAGCAGTGGCCGTAGTTGTACTAGTGGTACGAGTCGTAGTAGTAGTTGTAGTAGTATTAGTAGTAGTAGTAGTAGTAGTAGTAGTAGTAGTAGTAGTAGTAGTAGTAGTAGTAGTGGGCGTAGTGGGCGTAGTAGCAGAAGAAGTGTAAGAGTAGTTGTGGTAGTAGCAGTGGTAGTACTAGTAAAGGTCGTAGTCGTTGTAGTAGTAGATGTATTGCTAGACGTAGTAGTAGTAGTAGTAGTAGTAGTAGTAGTAGTAGTCGTAGTAGTAGTAGTAGTAGTACTACTACTACCATTAGTAGTAATGGTAGTACGAATAGTAGTAATAATAGTAGTAGCCATTCACAACGAAGTAGTAGTAGTAGTAGTAGTAGCAGTAGTAGTAGTAGTAGTAGTAGTAGTAGTAGTAGTAGTAGTAGTATGTGTATTCGTAGCAGTCGGAGAGTCCGGTGTAATCGTAGGCGCTGTAGGAGTAGTAGTAGTAGGAGTAGTAGTAGTAGGAGGAGTAGTAGTAGTAGTCGTAGTAGTAGTAGTAGTAGTAGCAGTCGTAGTAGTAGTAGTAGTAGTAGTCGTCGTCGTAGTAATAGTCCCAGCCATAGTAGCAGCTGATGTCAAGTTAGCAGAAGAAGTGGTAGTGGTGGTAGAGCTAGTAGTAGTAGTAGTAGTAGTAGTAGTAGAAGTAGTAGTAGTAGTACTAGAAGAAGAAAGGGTATTAGTAGACGTAGCCGTAGTATTAGTAGTGGTAGGAGTAGTCGTGGTGAGAATAGTGTGAGCAGTATTTTTCCAAGAAGAAGCAGTAGTTGCAGTAGCAGTAGTGGTAAACGTAGTATGTGCAGTATTAGTTCGAGTAGCCGTTGTCGCATTAGTAGTAGTAGTAGTAGTAGTTTTAGTAGTTTTAGTAGTAGTAATAGTAGTAGTAGTAGTGATAGGTATTAGTAGTAGTCGTAACTATAGCAGTAGTAGTAGTAGTAGTAGTAGTAGTAGTAGTAGTAGTGACAGTGTGGGTGGAAGTAGTTGTAATATGAGTAGTAGTAGTAGTAGCGGCAGCAGTAGTAGTCGTAGTAGTCGTAGTAGTCGTTGTGGTAGTAGCTTTATGTGCAAAGGAATTGTTAAGAGTAGTAGAAGCAGTACTGGCGAAAATAGGGGTAGCCCTGATAGTAGCAGCACAAGCAGTAGTAGTACCAGCAGCAGGTAGTAGTAATAGTAGTACTAGTAGTACTAGAAGTAGTGGTGGTAATAGCGAACGTGTAGTAGTCGTCGTTGTAGCAGAATCAGTAGCAGCAGAAACAGTAGCAGTAGTACCCGTAGTAGAACTAGTAGTAGTCGTATACGTAGCCGTAAGAGCCGTACGAGTAGCAGTAGCAGTAGTGGTAGCAATAGTCCAACAGAGGGTTTTGGTTGTAGTAGTGGTTTTCATTTAAGTAGAAATCGCAGTAGTAGTAGTAATAACCGCCGTAGAAATTGTAGTAACAGTAGCAGTCGTAGCACGAGTGGTAGTATAGATAGCAAAAGTAGTGGTAGTGGCAATCGGAGTCGTAAGCGTAGTAGTCGTTGTAGTAGGAGTAGTTTTAGTAGTCGTAGTAGTAGTAGCCGCAGTCGCAGGAACACGCGTAGTATTTGAAGGAGTAGTCGTAGTAGTAGTAGTAGTAGTAGTAGTAGTAGTAGTACTAGCAGTAGTTATCTAAAAAGAAGTAGTAGTAGTAGTAGTAGTAGTAGTAGTAGTAGTAGTCGTAATTGTAGTAGCCGTAGTCGTCTTGGTAGTCGTAGTAGTACTAGAAGTAGTAGTAGTTGTAGTAGTAGTAGTAGTAGTAATAGTCGTAGACGCAGTAGACGTCGTAGTAGTAGTAGAAGTAGTAGTAGTAGTCGTAGTAGTAGTAGTAGTTGCCTTAAACGTGGTACGAGCAGTAGTGGTAGCAGTCGTAGTAGTAGTTGTAGTAGTGGTCGTAGTGGAAGTAGAAGTAGTAGTAGTAGTAGTAGTCGTACAACAACAGTAGTTGTATTGGTACAAGTCACACTAGCGGCAGCAGTAGTAGTAGCAGTGGTCGTAGGAGTAGTAGTAGTAGTAGTAGTAGTAGTAGTAGTAGTAATATTCACCCGAATTAGCAGCAACAGTAGTAGCCACAGGTATTAGTCGTACTAGTAGTAGTAATATTAGTAGTAGTAGTTGCTGTAAAGGTAGAGCTACTGATAGGAGCCGCACCACTAAGGATAGTAGTAGTAGTAGTAATAGTAGTAGTTGTAGAAGTAGTCGTAGTGAAGTAGTAGTCGCAGTCGTAGCAGTAGTAGTAGTAGTAGTAGTAGCAGTAGTATTTGTAGTAGTAGTAGTGGTAGTACTAGTTGTCGTCGTAGGAGTACTGCTTGTTGTAGTTGTGGTAGTAGTGGCAGTAGCAGTAGTAGTAGTAAGCGTGGAAGTAGTGAACGTAGTAGTAATCGCAGGCAGTAGTAGTAGTAGTATTAGTAGTAGTAGTAGTAGTAGTAGTAGTAGCCGCCGTCGTCGTAATAGCAGTAGCAGTAGCCGTAGCAGTAGCAGTAGCAGTAGCAGTAGCAGTAGCAGTACCAGTGGTAGTAACAGTAGTAGTAGCAGTAACAGTAGTAGTAGTAATAGTAGGTAGTAGTAGTAGTCGTAGTAGTAGTAGTAGTAGTAGTAGTAGTAGTGGTAGTAGTAGTAGTAGGAGTAGGAGTAGTAGTAGTAATAGTCGTCGTAGGATAGTAGTAGTAATAGTAGTAGTAATCAAAGTAGTGCTAGTAGTGATAGCCGGTAGTAGGTAGTATGTAGCAGGTAGTAGGTAACAGGACTAGTGGTAGTAGTAGTGCTAGTCGTCGTTGTGGTAGTAGTAGACGTAGTAGTAGTAGTAGTAGTAGTAGTAGTCGCCAAAGCAGTAGTAGTAGCAGCAGCAGTAGTAGTAGTAGTTGTCGTAGTAGTCGTAGAAGTCGTGATAATTTTATGCTAGCGTTGTGAGTTGAAGTAGTAGTAGTAGTAGTAGTAGTAGTAGAAGTAGTAGTGGTAGTAGTAAAGTGGTAGGGGTAGTAGTAGGAGTAATAGTTATTTTAGTACTAGTAGTAGTAGTAGTAGTCGTAATAGCTGGGGTAGTAATAGTAGTAGTCGTACTAGTAGTTATAGTGATAGTAGTAGTAGTAGTAGTCGTAGTAGTCGTAGTAGAAGTAGTAGTGGTAGTAGTAGTAGTAGTCGTAGTAGTAGTAGTAGTAGTAGTAGTAGTAGTAGTGGTCGTAGTCGTAGGAGTAGTAGTAGTAGTAGTAGTAGTGGTAGTCGTAGTCGTAGTAGTAGTAGTAGTAATAGTAGTAGTAGTCGTACTAGTAGTAGTAGTAGTAGTAGTTGTAGTAGTACAAGTAGTAGTAGTAGTCGTAGTAGTAGTAGTGGGAGTAGTAGTAGTCGTAGTAATAGTCGGAGTAGTAGTTGGTTTAGTAGTCGTAGTAGTAGTAGTAGTCGTCGTAGTTGGAGTAGTAGTCGTACTCGTAGTAGTAGCAAAAGTGGTAGTAGTAGTAGTGGTAGTAGTAGTTGTTGAAGTAGTTGTGGTAGTGGTAGTAGTAGTAGTAGTAGTAGTAGTAGTAGTAGTAGTAGTAGTAGTAGTAGTAGTAGTAGTAGTCGTATTAGTAGTAGTAGTAGTAGTCGTAGTAGTAGTAGTAGCCGTAGTAGTAGTAGCAGTAGTAGTAGTAGGAGTAGCAGTAGAAGTAGTAGTAGTAGTAGTAGTGGTAGTGGTAGTAGTAGTAGTAGAAGTAGTAGTAGGAGTAGTAGTTGTTTTAGTAGTAGTAGTAGTAGTAGTAGCAGTAGTAGTAGTGGTAGTAGGAGTAGGAGTAGGAGTAGTAGTAGTAGGAGAAGTAGTCGTTTTAGTAGTAGTAGTAGTAGTAGTAGTAGTAGTAGTTTGAGTAGTCATGGTAGTAGTAGTAGTAGCAGTAGTCGTAGAAGTGGTGATAGTGGTAGTAGTAGCCGTAGTAGTAGTAGTAGTAGTAGTCGTAGTAGTAGTAGTCGTAGTAGTCGTAGTAGTAGTAGTAGTAGTAGTCGTAGTAGTCGCAGTAGCAGTAGCAGTAGTAGTAGTAGTAATAATAGTAACAGTAGTTGTAGTAGTAGTAGTCGTAGTAGTAGTAGCCGTAGTAGTAGTAGGGGTTGTAG